TTTTCGTCCATTTTTAGCGACTTTTGCCATTTTTCATAAATGGGCAAAAAACAGCAAAAAAGTAACGCTATAGCCTTAACTTTTCGTCCATTTTTAGCGACTTTTGCCATTTTTCATAAATGGGCAAAAAACAGCAGAAAAGTAAGCCTATAGCCTTAACTTTTCGTCCATTTTTAGCGACTTTTGCCATTTTTTATAAATGGGCAAAAAACAGCAAAAAAGTAAGGCTATAGGCTTAACTTTTCGTCCATTTTTAGCGACTTTTGCCATTTTTCATAAATGGGCAAAAAACAGCAAAAAAGTAACGCTATAGCCTTAACTTTTCGTCCATTTTTAGCGACTTTTGCCATTTTTCATAAATGGGCAAAAAACAGCAGAAAAGTAAGCCTATAGCCTTAACTTTTCGTCCATTTTTAGCGACTTTTGCCATTTTTTATAAATGGGCAAAAAACAGCAAAAAAGTAAGGCTATAGCCTTAACTTTTCGTCCATTTTTAGCGACTTTTGCCATTTTTCACAAATGGGCAAAAAACAGCAAAAAAAGTAACGCTATATAGCCTTAACTTTTCGTCCATTTTTAGCGACTTTTGCCATTTTTCATAAATGGACAAAATACAGCAAAGAAGTAACGTTATATAGCCTTAACTTTTCGTCCATTTTTAGTGTGAAGTTTCTTCGAAACTTCACAGTATTGTGATGACTGGGGGGAAATTCAAACGAAACAGTCAGTCATTCATTCATTCATTCAGTCAGTCAGTCATACAGTAAACTTTCCGGGGGGTGTTTACGGTATATGTTCGTAGTGATTTATCGTACTTAGTCTGTGCTTTGAAAGTTATTTAGGCAATTTCAGTTGTCTTATTTAAATATTCTTTAGGCCTTTTGCCACGTTTTGCCAAGTTTACAAAAAATTCGAGGAATTGTTGTCGTTATTGTAAATTTTGTAACATGCGCTTCTCATGTTGTGTAAAGGATTTTTCCCCCGGAACACCCGATTTTTTCTTTAGCAGCGCAAATGCGCATGCGCTATCAAGCCGTAGATCACGATGGCGTGACGATGCTAGGAAGGAAGGAGCGAGACAGTGTTGTTTTGAAATGTATAAACATTTCAGACGTGAATATTGAGTAAATCTTCGAGAATCTACGCAATATATAAATTGATGTTATGCATTCAATTAAGTGCCGATATTATTTAGACCGGTATATTCATTTTACAGAGCTAGCAAGGAGCTAGGACAGTGCTTTTTTCAAGTGTATATATTAAACATTTCAGACGTAAATATTGAGTCGAAAATCTTTGAAGGGGAAGTCAAGTCCGTTCTGCGCATCGGTTCTGCGCATAACAATAGAGGGCCCTCTGAGGTAAACATTGCCCAAATTTTGAATGTTTCGAATTTTTCTGAACTCAAACTCTATTTCATATTCATGTAGAAGCATAACGAACCAAAATGGTGTTAGATATTCAGACAGTACATCATATTTTAAAAAATACAGCAGTTCAAAATATAAACAAACCGTTTGTTTACATTACGGACTTGACTTCCCCTTTGAGATTCTAGGCATTCAATTGAGTGCCGATATTATTTTCACGGTATACCCATTATACAGAGGTAGGAAAGAGCGAGAGAGTGTTGTTTTCAAATATATAAACATTTCAGACATGAATATTGAGAAAATCTTTCAGATTCTACGCAATATATAAATTGATGACGTTATGCATTACCGGCGCCTTAATTAAGTGCCAGAAGATATATTGTTTAGGCCGTGTATTCATTATACATTGGCCACATTGACTGTATAAGGTGCTACCGCCGCAGAATAGATGGCTACACTCAGTACAAAGAGCGAAATTTGCATCAGACAAAGCGTAAACAACTATTAATTAAACAGAAGCGGGTGTTTGTATGGCGTTTTAATGCGAAGAAAATAACTTGTGAGTTGTGATCGAGACTAAAAGAAATCAGTTGAGTCTGCAGAGCTCTTTATTTAAACAAGAAAGACGAGGATCGAGTTATAGCCAACGTGTTATCGCCAATCGCTTGGCTTGCCAACAAGCTTTATGCAATAGAAGAAAAAAGCAAGGAGGTAGCCAACGTGTACCGTCAAGGACTTACTTTGTTTACTGTCTAGCACAACGTCAACAGTGCAAACTCGTGTTCAGTGCAACGATAACTCTACCAGATCTTACGAGAATCAATCTGTACACAGAGCCGTATCAAAGCTTGTTAAAACTGCTATAAACACTGCTATAACTGTGAAACTATTGAAATCTAAAGTGACATTATTGAATACATGCGAAAAGCTGAAAATGACTCATGAAACGCAATGTGACATTGCCATTGGGAATATAAAGTCAAAGGTCAATCAGACTTGTTATTGTGTAGGCATTGTGAAACATGTCACAATTAGGTTAAAATGCGGAAGCGGATGGAGCGGATCCACGGAACGGATATGGGGATAAAATATAGAACGGATGGAGAGAAAATGCGTTCTTTTAATGATACAACGTCGTAGTGCTTATTATTCATAACATATCTTATACAGCTATATTTGGGTGATGGGAATAATCATATTAAATAAGTTCAGGGTATCAGTAGCCTCGTTAGGATGCTTTTAGCGACAGCTGCAAATGCAAATGAAGTTTTAGAATATGCAAAATTTGGGTGTTGGTGAAACAATTTAAATTTCAAGTTGTCGCGTGTAGCATCACAGTAAATAAATAAATTGTATCAGTTCCACGAGGCACGTTTCTGATCTGTTAGGCTTGTCTCAAACGTCGCGCTACTCATGTGCCGAACGCATTATAAAATAGATAATGAGATGAAATGCCTTTGGTAACTGTTTATTTCGTAGTGTAAGCCATCAGCCTTTCTAGGTTGTCGGCAACCCTATATAGTTTTTGCAGTGTCTTTTTCAATTTGAAACTTCACACTATCCTTGGATCCCTAGTTGTTGTTAGTGGTTGTTCCTGCTCATCATTAGCTACTGGTACAGTTTGAAATACAAACATTTTTTCAACAGATTTGATTTCTGGTTGTCAGGTTTATATCCTCCATAAACAGCACTACACATGCACATAAGGCTCTGTGTACCTGTATTCTAAAAAAATCACTTACTTTTTGAGCTGTGTTTTGGATGGTTGGTGTCTCCCTTTTGTAGGCAATAATAGATTATGGACTCGACTTCTCCATCCAAACTTTTCAAACATTCTTTCATGAATGCTTTATGGTCATGATCTTTATTCTCGGATCTCCTCAAGCAGCGTTTAACCTCTTCTATAGTCTTTAGTGAAATACATATGTTCAAGAAAACATGTACAATTTTCTCTGTCATATTTTACAACTGGAAGACGTTTAACCATTTGATATTTTAATGGTTACATCATTGCAGTCTGGTTGTTGTTGTGGTTGTGGTTGGAGAGTAGTTAGTGTTTGCCAGGATGTTTGCATTAGCAGTGATTTCGAATCAATAAGGCTCTAGCATGCATACTAGCGGTAGATGAAAAAAAAACCACATCCATGCAGTATGAATATACACAGTATGAATATCACAGTGTGTATATTGAAATTATTTTATACATGATAGTACTTCGGCTCAACATACTCTTTAAAGCATGGGCATTTCTCAAGAAGTTGGTGACATCTTGTTTGTGGATCTGTTCTGCAAATCCATTTTCTGCGCCTGCAAAATTATTTGTTGTGGTACATGTTGATTACTGCATGATTTGGTTTCGTCTTTCTACATTCTTTGATGAGTGCATCATAGTGCTGGCTCGTAGCCTCTTCCACATGCACATCGACCGAATCTTCTAAAAGATGAAAAATGCACTGTGTTATATTTCAATGTTAATGATAAAATACAGTTGCTAATTTCAAAACATCTTATCTTTTATTCCAAGGGCTAAGTGTTCTTAATAGGCACATATGTACACGTGTCTCTTTGTAAGAACATTTGAGTTTGTTTTAAGTCAAACTGCGCTCATGCTCAGAAATGTTTTACTTAATACCTTATTTCAAGCACACTATTGCTTGAAACAAGTAAATTAATATTTTGTCTTGCTAAGAATTTTGGATTTTGCTGTGTACTTTTGGCATTCTGCGCGATGGGATTTAGTTTAGCTCATGTTTGTGCAGACCGATCTTTTTGCGCAGTAGCCACGTTTAGTTGTAGCCCGGCTTTTACAAAACAAACTTGCCCGTGATATTTTAAGACATTTTTTTAATATTTGAGATATTCGAATACTATGATTAATAAAGATTATAAATCAGTTCCTTCTTTTAAGAAGAGTAAAACACAAAGAGAGATGATTAGAGAATGCGTAAAGATTGCTATTTTAGTGATCTTTCAATTCCGGAGCCTGGGGCGAAAATAGAATGAATAGTAAATGACACTGCTTTGACGAATAAATTGTGCACGGCAATGACGAATAAATTAACTAGATTTGATTTGTCTAGGTCAACGCCCGTCATGCGACAATCATGCAGCGATCAAAAAGGTTTTTTTTATCCTTTGAGATAAACATAATATCCAGGTGTAAATAACATAATATTTTGAAATTTGCCAAAAGCATGGGGTTCAATTGTTTTACAAGGAAAGTTGGTATTATAATCCGGGCACCCTGAAGCAATACATTGTTATCAAAATATAGGTCATTTTTAATTAGTTTAAACTGTTTCAATCTGTCTGTTGGACAATGGTCCAGCCTGGGGCCGGTTGTATAAAAAAGTGATTAAAGTTAACTATAGTTAGTGGAAACGTCATCCAATAAGAAGCGCGTATTTGAGAGTTAATCACTATTTAACTACAAAATGGTGATTAAAAAAGTGATTAAGAGTTTTATGCAACCGGCCCCAGGATAGCATCTTTGTGCGAACATAGCAACCTCACACACGATTAATGCTGGTGGTGCAGCAGTGATAGTTAGGAAATTTATATACGTGTCTGGTACATTTGTTTCATGTTTGGTCCTTAGATAAAGGATGTCTTGACAGCTCTCAGATGGGTTTTGACTTGCACATTTGTACGTAACACGAAAATCGTACTGCTGAAGCCGTAACAGCCACCTATCAATTCTGGCAGGTAGTTTAGAGGCAGGGTTGCCAAATATTACTTCCAGGGCCTTTTTCTTGGCTGGTGGTGGAGTCAACAGGGATGGTCGACCATGAGACACCTTTCCTTGGCACATGAGGGAGGTAGCAGCCTGGATTTGGAACTCCTTCATCTGCAGTGGCTTGTTGTTCCTTAGGGACTTCGCTTCACGACCGTATAAAAAAACGGGCATTTGCCATTCTAAGGGAATGATAAAAAATATATAAGTACCATCTCCTGGATTTCATTTGAAGCTTATAAAGGGTACACATCATGTCGAACAGGTCGATGCCACCCATGTGCATTGTATGTACCAACCACACAGGGACGGTCAACATCGACATGTTTCTTTTGTGAACGATCTTGGATGTCGGCAATGAACCAAGATAGGGTTACAGCTTTGTTGGCAAGCCATCAAGTCCATTATTTAACTCATGCATGTACACTATCGTATTCACCTCTGCTATCTTTCTTGAGCACCTTCTCGGATGTTAGGAGTCCCTTGTGTAAGCGGTCAACTGCAATCGTACCCGTATACTGGAGACAATGTTTCTTCAATTCGGCTGCCATAGCAGAGTTGGTGAAGAAATTGTCAGCAAAAATCTTGAATGGTTTTTTGGGCAATGTTTCAGTCAACTGGAGAACGACATTGCCACCTAAACCACAACCAGCAGTTTCATCGCCCCCTAATACAGTGCCTTTTCCTTGATAAATGTCAAGGGCGTGAAGAATGCAAGTAGGTGAAGCACGAGCCCATAAGTTGATACCCCACTTCTTGGGTTTCTTTGGCAGATACATCCGCAGAATGGAGCGTCCTTTGAAGGGCACCATGATTTCATCAATGGACTGATATTCATCGCAGCTGATATTCGAAAAGTTCTGTTGCAGTTGTTCAATCCATGGTCGCAATTTTCATACGCGATCAAGTTTTATTTCGTCAGATGTTGTGTTATTGTCCACAAAGGTGAACAGTTCGATGAATTAGCTTGAAACAGTTCCGTGACATCTTGTAAGCAATTTGACCGTACCGCAAATCTAACTTCCGATAGTCGTCAATCTTTGGAAGTCAGACAATTCCCATCGAATAGTAAATACCAAAGTAGGCTGTCTTCTCCGCTTTGGTAAAATTTGGACACGAGCCTGTCTTTTCGGTTGCATACTTGTTGGATTCTTCCACCAAATTGTCAATCATGTTATCAGTCAAAAACATGTTGATATACTCAACAGGCATTCTTTCATCGGGCGCTGGTCTCTCGGGTTTGGAATAAATGGGGGTACCGGACGTGGCACAAACTTATACTTCGAGTCGTTTTTCTTTCGACTGGCCAGGGATACATTATCATCATCATTTCTCGTCATCATTTTCGTCACTACCATCACCACTAACAATACCATCGTCGTCACCATCCTCACCACCAGCAATGCCTGAACCGTCGCCATAATTCCCACCACAACCACCTTGAACATTATCCAACTCCCAATTCTCATCATCATCGAACTCATCTCCAGACGACAAAACATGACATTCGCTAATCGCTATCAGACACTGTTACTGCATCCAAAATGTCATCAATTTCAACAAAATCTTTGCCTGTAGGAATAAAATATATATTTTGGTAAGAAATGTCACAAAAAATCAAAATATAAACAAAATATATTACGACTATGGTTTCCTAACATTTTGTTCTTCTACATTTGTGTATTTTGCAATATCTTACAGAATACTTATAAGTAGATATCGCTAAAATGAAATAATAACATAAAAACATATATCACATGTGGTCATATCCATGCTGCACTTTTTACCCAATGTTGCTTGTGAGCAACACATATATTTTGGGCTTAGCAGCAAAATTGGCTTTGAAAAGATGAAATTTTATATTGGCGACTAGGGAGGGGTTGCGCATACAATGTTGCTCAGAAGCAACAATGGTTCCTATAGAGGGTTAATTAATAATACCAACAATAATATCGTAATATCAACAATAATAAATCACACCCCAAATTACAACAAAACCACAAAAATAAGTATTACATATGTCTCACTTCTAGTTGCATAATCTGTTCGAAGAATCGTTTTAACCTGGTCCCTCCTTTATAGCTGCTCATACTGGGGTCCTCAGATGTTGCGAGGCATATTTTTAAGCAAGATATGCATAAACTATGTATTTTTAGAAACTGTAGATCTTCAGCTATCAGTTGAGACAAAACGTTTCCAGCCAGGTATCGGACTGAAGTTTGCCACCAATGAAGCGAGTAGTATAGGAAAACTGCATTTTACAGCCTCCCCCCAATAAAATTTCAAATAATATGTGATGTATCTAAATGAAAATGCATCTTGTGGTAGCTTGAACTTTGCTCCTTTTAGCCATTTTTTGTAATTTACCATGGTTGCTATGGTAACGGGTAAAACAGATTGCATACAGTTTTCACTATAAATTCTGTTAGAAAATAAATACTTACAAAATGGCTAATAGTTGCATTCTACATACGTTAAACTACATCTGTACCAAAAATGGGAAATTTTCATTAAAACGGTAACAAGAAAAACTAGGGGGGAGGGGCGGCAAATATCACATTTTGAGAAATATACAGTTAAAGTTTAAGTTTCATTGGAACTTGTCTTTTGAGTCTTCTAATAGTCTTTGAGGCTCTATTCTTTTCTTGGCAGCTTGCTTTTCCCCATTTTACCACTATTTCTCCCAGTCTTTCTCTTTCTTGAACCATTCAAACGATCTTCATTAAATACCGGGCTCTCATACGTTACTCCCCTTCAATCTTACCTCTTCCACCAATTTTGCCTGTCGAATCTTCTCTCTTGCTTCCTTGAACTTCTTTTGGGCCTCTGCATTCGCTTGTTTTGCTCTCTTGTCACTCTTCCAGTTTTTGTATAAAAACCAGGAGAAATTTCCAGCTCTTTCAATCATCAAGTCGACCAGCCGCACCATTGTTAAACTGCATTATTGCTGATGTTGTTGCTATCTCGACAGACTTGAACCTTCTATTTTTGTGTTTTGGTCATCTGTTCCAAGCTAGTGAATTTACAGACTAAATAGCGTTCTGTAAGAGCCCTGAGTCGATCGAATAGCGGAATAAGAATTTCAAGAAAGACAGAATGAAGATGGTGTGATTTGTTCACAAAAGGAATATTAGTTCCAACTGCTTTGTCTCTCTTGTAGGAACACCATGAACTTTCACCTTCAGGACTGATAACGCTTTTTTTATCAAAAGTCTTTTTTATCAAAAGTCACTGTGGTACAACACTCCTTTGATCACACCCTGCATTTTCTTTACTGCATTGTCAATTTCTCGTTTAGTTTTCACTTTTTTTATCAACGCAACGTCTGATGGCATTTCCATTGTGGGCCTGGCGAATCTTCCAGCTTTACTTCCCACTGGTTTTCCATCTGCAAGCTTTATTTTTCCTGTCAGGGCTATAAAATGTTTCCCCATATGCTTTTGGACATGTTCAACACAATTGAGCTTGTTTACTCAATGGCAGTTTACATGACGATTGTTAGGTTTTTTTCTCCCTTTTAGCATGTGCCTTGGATTTCAACCTCTTTGATATTCTACTCATTGTTTGTCTATATTCTCATATTTCTCACAATTGTTACAAACTCCATAGGTATCCCACACTTGTCCATATGCTTTGCTGTGACCATCACATACCATATCAGTATACCATATCAGTGTACTGAAATCTATGTTTTTCAACAGATCTGCACCATGAATTTCTGGCTGCTTCTTTTTCCATAGCATTTTTCTGGCATAGTCCACTTGCCACATGGGCATTTTTCCATTCTTCGTACTTTACCGGATTATTTTTTAGTTTCTTTGCAGCTTTGCAAAGTTCACAAACTTTTGACAAAACAACATAATCCAAGACCTCCCCTGTGTCTGCAGAAATAACAATTCCTACTCCATAGTTGGCAGTAATCTTCTTTTGCTCCATGCGCCATCAAATGACACAGCAATATCGAGCATTTGTGTATCATCCTTGTTGTGTAGGAACGTTCTTACTCGATGACCAGCATCGTTCAATCTTTCCTCCAAGACTTTTCTTGTCGCTAGATTCCCCGATTCATTAACTCGATGTGGTATATTTAAAATCTAACAAATAGATGTACATATACTGTGGTGTGGTCAACCCATTGAGTGCCAGAGCTCTTCCCTTGCATTGAAAAAATGAAATATATGGTGCATTCTCACTTATCAAATGGGATTATGTGGTCCACAGAGGAGGGTTAGGCTACACTCATAAATGCATAATTGAAACAGTTGGCTGGTTTGGCATTTTAACTGATTATTGCAATATCTTCATACTGATTTTATAATTCGTTAATTTTATTTTTTATATACAGATAATGCAATCTAATAACTATGACTTTAAATCAAAATACTGTTAATAAATTTGTATTTTATTTGGATGTAGTTAATTAAATATATTCATCAACAATTTGTGACTCCTCTTTTTGCTCAATGGTGCTTTATTTCTGAAGAAATTATATTACATGTAATATGTAAGAAATTATATTACACTTAAACAACCAAATACAACCAAATAATTGTTGTGATTATTTGTTCGACACTGGATGCCAACGTTTAACTGCTATTCGTCCCACACAATATTATGCATGATTGTGTACACATAACATTCTTGCTGTTTTATCAATAAGGTTTCTTGAACCTTGCCCACACCTGACCCCGACCCTAACCCCTAACTGGCCCTTATCCTAACCTATCAGGCCACCTGTTTGCATTTGAAATTCCACTCATTCGAACCCAGAGCTAGCAGATGCCAGATATATGCAACTGACTAGGTGATAATCTTGACCACTTGACTCCCAAGGACTTGCTTGAGTTCAAGTGAAATTTATTTTGTAACATTTTCCATTTTGAAAGAATGAGGAAAATAGTTCAGATAAATAGCATGTAAATATTAGGGTTCGGTATCAGACGAATAACCTCCTTTTCCTCCAAAAATGCATGAATTACCAACATCGAATGTCGTCAAGAACGTTTCATTTTCTTTATGAGATTGATGTTACTCATGCAATTTCTAGAGAAAATGCTACAGGCCTCTAAACCTGATCTCATCAAACTAGGTTCAACAGAAGTTGGTAGAATTGAACTGCCAGTTTTTGGATCTTGATAATTCTACACATTATAATTTCATTGCCATCAGTGGCCAGTTATAGTACTTGGATTAGGTCATTCAAGGCCATGATAGTTCTGGCTTAAAAAGGTCTTCTTCTGTAGGTATACTAATATAATAGAAATCACTTTACTTTTTACTAAGTGCTGTACTATATTAGCGGATGGTTTGTCAACTGGCATTTTATATCGTAAAATTTGAAATAACAAATTAAACTAAAATCTGATCTTTCAATCATTTTCTTTCGAGGAAGACTGTTTCTTGTAGTTTTGGCAACCTAATTGTATACATCAGTTGCTAAAATTGTCCATTACACAGTACAGATGGACTGTGTAGTTCGCTTTGTTTTGACCTACTCTATCACAAATTAATATTGAACATATAAACCATATTTTACCTTTACAAATATCGTCTTTCTAAAGTTTCTTGACGTTTAAATATTCGTCACTGTCTTTCACTTACCAGGATGATTCTTGCCACTGTGCAACTCCAAACAAATGTTAAAATGTCAAAGAGAAGGCAAACACCGAGGCAAACTTCAAAACAAAAAGCTAAAGATTGCGAAAATTAGGAGTGTGTGGAATTTGTAGCTGGCTCAAAATGAGTCATGCTCAGTGGTAATTACCGTGAGTATTTGGGACCAGTGGCGTCAGCAAACGTGAAAATCCGCCACGTTTTTGGCGACACTTGTTTGACTGCATGAAGAGAGATAGGAGCACCTCCTTCAGTAACATAATAAAGCTCAGTGAGTGAAGTGCTCCCTTAGGGCCTCTCCACACCAGAAACAGGTTTTCGCTTGAGTGGACAAAGCTGTAGATGGTATAACATGTATGAACCAAAAAGAGGATTAGGTTAACCAGGAGATGCAGATGTTGCTCTTGCTCAAGTTGGTTTCGCCTGTGGATAACTACAATGCCCTCTTGATCAATTTTACCACTTCGCCCACCCTTTCGCTGACTTGTTGTAATCTTGTTTCTTTCTTTGCAACGCCTTTGCCGGAATCAAAAGTGACCAAAGTGGTTAGATTAGGTGTGTCGTGATGCCTTAACGAATCCAGGTTTTTTCAGGTTTTGTGCGCAAACATTCCGTGGCTGTAGCAGAGAGGGCAGCAGCTGGGCAGATGACCATCCTGGGCCGTTCGCATGTTATTTTTTTATTTTTTCTATATAGATGTAGTGGGGCCATTTGGAAGTTAGGCTTTCCAACATAAAGGCCATGCCGTTGCTTCCTGGTGCTGAAACAATTGGATCCTCTTTCGCCAATGGCGATTGGGCCTTTCTGAAAACACGCTGAACTGCTTGAAGAGGATGGCACATTAGATTTGCTTCTTTCTTCTGCATTTTAATGTAGCCATTTCATGTCAACGTTCTGTCTCCTTGGCCGGTATTCAACGTTCCGTCTCCTTGTCAAACGCATTTTCATGTGTTTGTCGTTGTTCGGGGATCACTCGAAAACCATTTCTCTTGCGTCAATTGAAGAGGTCTATAGTCAAGAATGATATTCAAAAACGTCCCTTTAATGTCCTTTTGTGTTTGATAAGCTGCGCCATTTTTAATGTAAAAATGGACATTTCGCTTTCTTTGAAATTGACTGCCCGTTTAATCACAGCATTCGCGGTTTGTGGGACGTTGATCCAAAATGGGGTTGGTGGATCTTCTTGTCCAGCATTTGTCCGTACTGTGACTAGCATGTTCTCGACCATTATGTGGGTGTGTGTAGTTTGAAACAGATGTGAAGAAGGTTGGTATTCTAGAATACAAAACAAAAGACGTCAAAGTTCTGCGAACGTTCAAGCATAGAGCTTGGCTACGTAATAAAGATTTATGCCCTGTTTATGAGATAATTACACGAGTATTTCTCATTCATAATTGTCATGCGCTTGTTGTTATTGACGAGAAGTATTTTACATTAACGAAAGCAAACTTCATAAAAAGTCAACCTATATATGTGATTTCTTTCAGACTTGCAGAAAAGGGTGGCGCTAAGACATCTGACAGTGTTGAAAAAGTGGTGCAAAATAGCAATAATGTTTTTCTTCATAGTGTAGGCTGCAACATCAAATCTCAGCTTGGGTTGGATTTGGCTTTTTTGATGTATTTTGCCGAATAGCAAGACCATAATATTTTTGCAGCTGCTTGATCTTGCCTTCTGTGAGACGCCCTTTCCCACCAATTGTCTTGCCGTCAGAAAGTTTACTTTTGTTTGAGGCTTTCAGTTTCATAAGGTGTTTCCCCATTCGTTTCTGAACATGTCCTACGCAATCTAGCTTCTCTACCTTGCATTGTCCACCATAAACGTCTTCCACAGCTGCATGGGCCTTGCTGCCTCCGTCACTAACCATCCACTTGTAGCGAAGATTGTGCTTCTCAATGTGGACCTTTCTCACAATGTAACAGCTCCTTCACATTCCATGGCTGGTGAACTGCCATCAAAGTTGATATCACAATCACCAGATGCAAGCTGTTCGACTTGCCACTCTTGAAATTGAGCATCGTCCTTACATTTTGATTTCTTGAGGGAGCATTTCTGACAGGCTTTAGATAGACAATGGTAGTCCAAAACCTTTCCTGTGTCTACAGAAATTACAAACACAACTCCAGCCAATGATGTAAATCCTCTCTTGGCACTCTTGGCCCATGTTCCATCGAAGCTTACAGCAATGTCGACAACATCAGCGGTCTCATTTGAGATCATGAGTTCATGAAGTTCCTTGCCAGCATTCTTCATTTGTTCATTTGCTTCCTCCTCCAATGAAAGTAAAATTGTTTTTATTTGTTGTTGGTAAGCAGGCTTTGAGATACATGGCATATTCATGATACTACAAAAAGAGGCCAAACCTTCGTAACCACTGCCTGTCTCTATGGAGTGGTAAACAGCTCTTCTGTTGACATCGTATGATGTTCCCCTTTCTGCAACACTACCTGACGTTACCAGAGATGTTTCTTTATGGCATGAATTGCAAGACACTGATATCTCACTTTTCAATCCATATCTTTGTGCTGACTTCTCTTTTAAAAGCAATACAACCTAAACAATCAGGGAAAATTTATTATTAGAAGTGTCGATGCTGTATTTGTTATGACTGATCATTCGATTCCAAAACCAAAATACTACACAATATATTAGATTTTTAAAATGCACATAATCTATTTATTTCAAAAAGTAAATAGAGCAAAATTTGTATAGTTTTTAATACTTTACATGTAGGTCCAGTATCCCAACCTTTCCAATAATCCATGAAAAGATTAAAAATCAAAACATATAACACAGTATTTGGCCAAAATTTGGGTGATAGTGCAAAGTCAAAATGAATTTATACTAATATTATAAACAAATCATTAATAATACCTTCTTCACAGCTATTAATCTCGGATAAAACAGGACAAATGTTTCACATTTATTAGCAGGTATTCATCTTGCTCAAAGTCACTAGAAGCATCGGCTTGCTGTTCAGCATCATGTTGTATTTGCATCGTCTTTCTTGAGGAACTGACACATGCGGGCTCATTTTCACCATCGTTTCTAACTGCCTGTGATGTTCCAGCCGCTTCCTCAATCCTTTGATCAATAAATTTACTATATCTTTGCACACCAGGGAAAGGTTTTCCTTTCCTTGTCTTCCTGTAACAGTTTTTTTTCTTCCCACCAGCCATCGTCGACTAAAATATCTCAGAATGACTGCCTCATAATCTTTGTCATGCTTTGAAAACACAATATCACACTTATTCGTCAGCGGTTTAACGTTCTCTGGTCAGGTATACTTCATATTAGCTTCTTAACGTGACCTAACATTGTGTCCAAAGAAATCTGGGGGAACGGGGATGGGTAAAACAACGATAAACAAAAAATGCTGACACACGTTTCCATGGTAACCAGAACACGACTATTTTAAAACACCGAATAAACACGGAAAAACTTCAAGCAAATGTATTTGGATAGTTCGGTGGAATTTCGTTTGTCTAGGTTTTCGAACGAGGTTTTGTGATTCGCAAAGCGCTTCTTGAAGGTTGTTGAAATCGGGAATTACATCTCGATGCGTGAAAGTCAAATTTCAGTCAGCAGACAACATAATTTATGTCGCTTTGCTTAAATCGATTTTAAAATTAAATTGCAAATATTTGTTTTCTTTTTAATAATTTTTGTTACAACCATTATTCAATTGGACTTGGACCTTACCACATGATATTTGCCATGACTTCATATTGTCCTGTATAAAAAAATGGATAAATTACAAATTAATATCAATAAATAATGAAAATGGTGTTTTATGTGCCAGCGTGCAAACGCCACTCATAACTCTGATTGGTTCACTACGTTCTTTCTCAACACGAATAGTTGTATAGCTGTCCGCATATAACTCTCTCAAATACGTTAGAAAGGTGAGTGGAACTCACAGTCTTTGAGCTGCAATTAGTATCGAGTCGTGAGAAACGGAATCAAATGCCTTCCGCACATCAACGAATACAATGTTCAAGCTCCGATTATTAGCCTGATGATGCTTAATCACATGCCTTAACAAAAGAATATTGTCAGCTATCCCGTCGCCAGTTCTAATGGCCTTCTGCCGCTTGCTTACCAGAAGCAAGCTTTCCATACGAGCCGACATAATCTTATGGAATAATCTAATGATCATTATGGACATACTTATTGGACGATGGTTTGATGCCTACATCGTACCTCTCACCTTGGAGATACACACCGTTTCCCCGACTCTACATCGCTGTGGCTGATAACCTGTCCATAACCAAAGGTTGAATCTCTCAAATGGAATCCCTCGCAGATCCTTCAACCGCATCCCGTCGGGACCGGGAGCACTATCATTTAGCATGTTTAAGTTATCACTCAATTCAGCAGATGTAACAGGCTGCACAAGGTTCCAATTCGCTTCACACACCGGTTGTGCTCTACGCTGATGTCTCACCGAAGGTTCCTCAAATGCACCTTTCCAATAGCGTTCCTGATCACTTAATGGAACGCTGGTCGCAGTCGACGACCATTCACCCGATATATTATTCTTCGCACATCTAGATTGATTTTGCTTGAACCATCTCTGCGTACGCGCAAAGTCACTCCTCCTCAGAGACCGCCGATTTATACATGCACGCGGAACCCGACGCCCACGAAGTGGCTTTATGCTGGACTCGTCGTCCGGTATCCATACATCAAAATCAGCATCCACAAACCCCCTTACTGCATCATCAGCGCTACCAGGCACCACCTGAGAAAGGTCGAATCTAACAGTATTCACAGTCCTTAATACTGTCAAAGATATTATCATTCCATCTGCTGGCTTCCGTACCATGCAGCTTGATCGCTGTTATCATGCTCACAATGCCTCGACACAGTCTCCTCGACATACTGCGCTGTCTCAATGGACAGCTCTGGGGCCGGTTGTATAAAAAAGTGATTAAAGTTAACTATAGTTAGTGGAAACGTCATCCAATAAGAAGCGCGTATTTGAGAGTTAATCACTATTTAACTACAAAATAGTGATTAAAAAGTAATTAAGAGTTTTATACAACCGGCCCCTGCTGTTAATGCTTGCACAATATCCTGGTACTTCCGATTGTTTTTCCTACGCACTCCTTTGATGTTCTCAATAGTCCTGTGAAGGAATACAGCATGCAATAACTGGTTCATATTACGAGAACCAAGCTCGCGTAACCGTATTTTCTCCCTTGCTAGTAATACAAGTTCCTCATGGTCCCATCTAGCCTTCGGCCCCCTGACTGGAACATTCTGTTCATGATATTCCAACGGGTGCTTACTTCGCCGATGAACATTCAAACCGCGTATGCTCGTAAATACACGGCTACACTGTCTACACTGGTGACAGACGTCCATGCCAGGTAAGACATGCCACAAACCACAACAGGACAAAGAAGTTTTCGATATAGAGCTGTTGGGTTATGGAATAGTGTAGACAATGAGTTGAAAAAACTCCCATTAGCAACATTTAAAATCAAATTAAAAGAGTTCTTACTAAATCGATATTTTGAAACTTGAATACTTATAGTGTATATAACACTAGTTTTAACATGCATGCAAGACAATTATTCTTATTGAAATTTATTTTATTGCGCTACATTTAAACTTTTTATAAATTCCTTTTGTAATCATTTTTATAAACATTAATTAAGCTGTAAAAAGTATCATTTGTAAATAAGTATTGAAAAGCCCTGCGGGGAATACTTTCAATAATAATAATAATAATGACTATTGGTTGGTTAACGGTTGGAGCCGCAGCGGCATCTCCGTTTTCTTCATATAGTGTTTCAGTACCGTTAAGTTCTCACACCATTGTGTTGGTAGCCCACAAATGGTCCGGTTCCTGGGTTCTTGGTTTCACCACAAAAGGCTACTCACGACTTTCGCCCGGGGTTACTTGAGTTCTTGTTGCATTAGCTATATGCAGTTGAGGAAATTTTTCCTGATATTTTTTCTCAATTATTATTTTTTTTATTAAAATTAATGGTAGTTTATAGAATTTAACATGTTCGCCTCTGCACAATAGAATTCAAAATATTGTGTTACAGTGGCGTAAAAATTACTCTTGTACCTCTAAGACATATTAAGCCTGAGCGTATAATACTATCGCGTCCGTATCCAGTTCATTGTTTATGAGTAATTTTCAGATCTCTGCTATATATTTGACAGTTTAAGGGCTAATTTTTGATGGAATTTCTTGCATTCATCATGCACCCATTGCTCCATTTGTCCCAAATACCAGTGGCGTAAATGTTCCATTTTCCACTTCGATAATACAGTCGTTCTATGCTCGTTTCTTCTCTTGCTCGGCGTTCTGCCGATTAACATGCATGACGCGAACATCAAAAATGAACTTTGTCCCCTTTTCCAGAATCCTCTTGGCTTCACACCCAACCTCGCATTAATTATCATCGATGTTTGCCGTTCTGTTACCAGTAGTGTTGACCTATCAATTGCTGTTAATGTCTCATGCAGTTATTATTTTTTCGTGTTTTAAGAAGTCTGTTTCTTAGATAAAGACAATGTTTTTTTCTTAATTGAAGAATGATTTTTTTTCCTAATTTAAAAAATCATTTTCATCGGTTAAAAAAATTATTAAACTTAAGAATTATTTTTCTTGTTAGAAGAAATCATCTTCTTAGGTTAAGAAAATATTTTTTTAGATAACTTTTTCTTATTTTAAAAAATCATTTTCATCGATCAAAAAATTCTTTTTCTTATACAATTATTTTTCTCAATTTAAGAAATCGTCTTTTTGGATTCACTGACCTTTGCCTATAAGCGGTTCTCTCTTCTCATTTCTGTTTTTCGCTTGTTTTCGTGCAGTCACTTGGGCTTTCTTTTGCTCTCAGCGACTTCATCATTAACAGGTGAAAGTTCTCTTTTTAGGGTACCAATATAATATTGGTGATTATCTTTAATTGTTTGACACTCTTCTAATATGCATTTCATGGCTTCTGAGTTAGCCATTCTATCATCATAAAATTTCGTTTCATTAGCTTTCCATCACTTCACATTATTTTCTTTGTTAAATAAAGTTGACCTTTGTTTCATAATGATGTCAGTACATGTTGGAAACAACTGAATCGATGATGTCTTTAGCTGCTTCTGCTTTGGCACAATTACCTGTTTGAATCGATCCTAATTCATCAGTTGAGAATCCCTGAATATTCTGAGAGTGCTGCGTTCACCGACTAAATTATTCACTCTTTTTTGTACTCGTTAACAGTTCGTTGGATTTTCCTTCGAGTAAGACGCAGCTCAAACATTTCATTCTTAAATTGTATTGGTGGATTGAATTATATATATATATATATATATATATATATATATATATATATATATATATATATATATATATATATATATATATATATATATATATATATATTTATATATATATAGTTTACAAAGTTGTTTACTTCTCAAGAAAACGTTTACGTTTTTAGTCGTGTTTCTACAAGATTAAAGTGATTATATGTAAACAGAAAAATATCTTAGTTTCATAGCCTAATTGTTCATTTTTAGCAAAAAGTACAAAACCAAACATGAAAAAAAACACACAGGTGGCTGTTAACAGGCTGTTACAGCTCATAGATTGAGTAAACGGCAGAGTTCAATTAGCTTCAACCTTAAAGAGGTATTGTTGTTTTCATCGATTTTATCCTTCACAATAATCCTTGGCTGTCCATGGTACTCAAATAAATCGAAAAGTTGACAAAAAAACACAACAGTAAGAAGTAAGAACAACATTGCAGCTTAATTTTGCTGAATGAAAGCTCGTTCTGTGCCCGCGTACAATCTTCTACTAGTCAGCGACTCTTTTATATAATTTGTCGAGTTACACGAGGAGTTTTTACAATTTGAGTTGCATTTTACTCATTATTTTCATCTGTGACCTATCTTCAAGTTTTGACCACGAATTTATTTTGCGGTAAATTTTATAAATTTCAATTAAAAAAAAAATCTTTAGTATGGAAATTTCGCAATAAAATTTTTCGCTTTTAAAAAAAATCAGACACTAAAGAATTTTTTAAATCTTTCACCACAGTTGCAGAGCATCATTCCCTATTGATATATGAAATAAAAAGATAGATCACCGACATCTCGTCATGTTGCCATGGAAACACTGACGTTGACGAAATCTAGTTCGAAATATTCCTTAGGTCGCCAATATTGCCATGGAAGTCGAAAAGAATTCGCGTTCTGCACGAATAACCCTGTTTTACGGAATTATTGGGTAAACAAGAATAACTGTAGGGAGCCTCCTTAAATTAACAAATTACAAAATGTCAGACTCTGTCTGGCATGAATAGACCAAGCTATATTTACATATTTAATTTCGCTTACAGTGTCAAGATTTTCACAAATCTTAAAACAAAGGAGCTGTGTAATGTTGGCCACCTCGACACCTTCCAGGTGCAACAAACATATTTGCACTTTCGCCACGAGATTGAAGTGTCGTCTATTCTAAACACTTTCTTGTTACCGCCTGGTTGCTACTAAATTCCGTTTAACTTTAGATTTTCGCCCAGTATAATTGCTTTAAGGATTCATAATCTCCTGACCAAGCACGGCATAAATTGTCAAGAAACGACAGAACACAGAGCGATTTGCAATGTAAATGATATTTTTATGAATTTAATTGCCTCGTGTGGCTAAAAAATGTCTTGTGGACATCGCATAAATTAGTTTTGTATTATAAGGAAGGTATATTGTCGAACAAGGAGCTATGATGTCCAGTCACCAGATTGCGAAAATTTGAATTAAAGTACTTTAAGAAACGTTTTAAATATTAAAATACAAAGAAGGCATTCACTGTTAAATATCCTTGTTACAACTAGAGGCTATTTACTTATATTGACGATATTTAGGCTTAACAATTTGTTCAAAGAGACGCAAGTTCTCATTCTGCATGATTGAAAATTCAAACAAAAACGTGACAAAAAGTTGTCAAGTTCACAACGCTTTTAAGTGCATGGCACTTATAGTTATAAGATCCAAATGAATTAGAGATGCAGTTCAAACACCTATCAGTAATATTTAATTTTCAAAACGTTTCTTCTGATCTTTAGTTAAATTTTGTCTGCTTTTCTTCTTAAAGTTAGTTGTTTTGCAAGAAATTCCCTGCGGAGCGAGTTCAATGTCGTGTCTGAAACAAAATCGTTCACTCCATGAGCAACCATAATTTTCTTCGGAAGCTTCCTACCGTCATGCCTCGCGGCAAGTCGCTATAAGGGGAAATATCAATTGGTAAGTGCTGATAATTAACAATTATACCTTATGAGTTTCTAACTTCTTCAATCTAATTCATCTCCCCCCTGGAATGATCCCCCCGTCCGTCTTGGCCTTAAAGGCCCATTTGTTAAAAGTTGAAAATTTTCAACTGAAAAACTTTTTTCCGACGGAAAATTTGTGTCGGCCAATCGCATTTTACAAAATTTTCTTTCTGCGGAAAATTTTCCTGAGTGGAAATGGGCCTTAAGAGATTTAATACTATTCCGTAGCGTAAGGTTTTGTGATTTATGGCATTGAGTTTGGTATAAGCATTTGGGTAGGCAACGTTTTATTAATAGCATTCCCGATGAGCTCCAAACAAAGGTTAGCACTATTTTCCATCCAGCAAACTGACCTGACGTTATTTTCAGAAGATAGAAGAGTTGTTAAATGGCTATGTAACTAACCCAAAACCTACCTCTGCTCTAACCCCAACCGTAACTCTACTCTAACCCCAACCGTAACTCTAACCCTAACCCTAACCGAATTAATAAAATAGTCCAGAAAAACCGACTTTGGAAACTCGATAGGGTGGTTTGCTGGATGGAAAAAAGTGCCAACCACAAACAAATGGAAAGCAGTGCTTTAATTTGTGTGTTAATGATTATTTATACATAATTAACTTCAATAGTATACTGTTAGTCTGTAATTGTTACATAAAATAATATTCTTGGATTTGTGTAAATATATACAGTGTGTAAAAAAACGAAACATTTAGATATCAAGCTATTGTTGTTAAGCACAAGATTTTATGAATTTAAAATAACTGCTATAGAATCGTATGAAGGAGCGTAATTGCATTCAAATTCCAACAATACTATAAGGGTCTCATATTTTTTATACACCATGTATCATGTACATACTGTAAATGACCATGTATATTGACAGATAATTTCAAGTAAGTGTAATTGTCAATGGAAATTGTTTAATAAATGAATTTCAAGACGTACTATATTTTATAAAAAGTATATGTGAGCATGTTTCGACTCCCAGCATGAAATAGTGTACACCCTTAATCACTTTGAATATCAAACATACTTGAACAATGTCCGTTTCATGTCGTATTCAATGCCACCGATGGTACTGTCACACTGTTCCATTTCGTTTTGAATGAGTTGTATCATCACTTCAGAAAAGAGTTACCAAAAAAACTATTTCAAATTTCTAGTGTTAAAACCACAGCTATATGCGACAGCTGATAATCAGGAAATCAGCCTTTCCTGTAATTTAGGCCAGTTTATTGTACTCTAGAAAACTGATGTAATATTGCATTTCGGCTTGAGTTTTGCCTCCATGCATGAGGCAAAGCAGTTTTTCAACGTATTTTTCTACTTTCAATGGCTTGGTTCTTACATTGAACAAATGAACAGTACTGTTTTAAATTTTTTAGTTTACAAATATACTTAATAAAAATTAATTAAAGGCTTTTAAAAACTGAAGTGCTTTTAGTTTTGGCCGAACATTCTTAATTCTTATTAATTCAATTCAAATTTGAATTTTTCGTATTTTAACATATTTCTGTTAATAATATTTTTAATACGTTTGCACACTATACTAGGTGTCCCAAAAAAACCCGAAAACTATTCAAATAACGTTTTGTTAGAATTTGAATGCCCCAGCACTCTGCTGAACCCACACGTGCATCAAAGCTTGACATTTATAAGTAAATTTTATGCATAAAGAAACCGTTTAAGAAGCTGTTTTAAATTCCCAAGAGCAGAAAATCGCGAGCTTTACAAAGATATTTTAATTTCTTAATAAGTACTTAATTTCTTAATAAGTAATTTCTTAATACGCTTGTCAATATTTTACGCATCTTTGCTTTCAGCTTGGTGCTAAGGCATTCAAATTATAACAATACGTTATTTCAATGGTTTTGCGGGGTTTTTTGGGACACCCTTTATATTACATGGCATGCTCTATCAACATTCCAGGTACGTTAGCCTCATTTCTTCTAATATATTGTTCATTAACATCATTTTAGTCAATTTACTCAATTCTGATTGGTTTAGAATTGTTCCGATTAAAAACCATTACACATTACTGCTGTAGTCAATTGAATACATATTTTTAAAATACAATGTTTCTTGTTTTTGACTACTCGTATAAAATTATACTAAAATATATTAATTGGAAAATACACTTGTTCTCGAAGTATTAACGAAACATCACACTTGTGTTTGGCGAAAGATTTATAATGCTCGTGCTACGCACACGTGGTATTGTAAATGTTTCGATTGTTCATTAGTACTTCTCGAGCTGTGTAATTTCCTGCGCTAATAACTGGGACAAACAGACTTCCATATAATTTTGATTCCTCCGCAAGGGCTTGTAAACTTGACGTTTGGGATTCGATTGCATGTGTCATATACACGCGCCGTATGCAAATTATTGCATATCACGATGTGCATATCACGATGTTAATATCACGAGCCGCCAAGGCGAGTGGGTCACTTTTTTGTTCTTCCCACATGATGTCATACCAGATAACAATAACTGAACAGACAACGGCAAAATCTTATTTATTTGTTTTATATAATAAAAAGGAAAACCCAGAATTAAACAGGTAATTAATAGCTGACTTTTTATCCACCCAAATGTTTGGAAATTTGAAAAAGCCGAAATTTTACAAATATCACGCGTACGTGATCTATACAAATAAGGGAATGCTATTGGCTACCTTAATTGTGACGTAATTCCATGCGTCTGTCCTCTAATAAATCATGCCTTTCGACCAATGAAAGCGCTTGAATTCTTAACGTTACTATATAAATGTTTATTGACACAGGGGTAGAAAAAAATTTATTTTCTGGGACCGCAATGAAAAGTGGGAAAATTTTCTGTGAGTTGTTGACACAAATCCTGTATAATTTAATTTAATTAAAGACTAAAATTTTTTTATTGGCGTATATTTCAGGTGAAGGTAAAGATCGAGGTCGAAGGTCAAAGTCAAGGTCATAAAAAGGGCCTTTTTAATAATTTTTTAAATGAACTTCAAGTTCACCAAAAAAAGGAGCCCTTTTAACACCTTTTTATTTTAAAATGAACTCCAATGTCAATTTCGTATTATTTACAGCAATTTTCGTCCAAGCACAAACCGCAAACATTTTCGCGCGTTTGTTTACGTTTGAAGCGGGGCGTTTACCGTTGGAAACGGAAATGTTTCACTGCTCATTCGACGTGTTATAGTGAAAAGCCTAATTCAATTATTTTTCATGTTTTGATGTGCTTTCGTGTACTTTTCAGTGTTTCCAAGCTCACGATATTGTAAGAGCGACCAAACGTGTTCATATTCATACTTTTTGTTTCGTTCCCCGCAGGAACGAAACGGTACTGCATTGGGTTTCGAACAATATTACAGGAAAGTGACGTCAGATATCAAAGTTATCCAATCCTTTGCCAGTATTCTTGCTGAAACGTCAATTACATTTAGAATCGTCCAATGAAATGCCGCTCCTAAGCATAAGAAGTTTTTTGGAGGCGTGGCGTATAATCGGAAATCTTAGTAAATTATATATCAACCTATGAGAACATGCTAACTTAACCTGAAGTTCAGGCCCTAATTTTAAATAGGGCCTGACACAAACCTGTCTAGACCGTGGGACCACAGAGGTGGGACGCTCACGTGTTATTTTTAGACACAGCATGCAATATGATTGACAAGTGTTATAGATTTCGTTACACAAAAAAATTATATTCTCATGAACATGTCCGCAGAGTGTGGATTTTGCTTTTTTATTAAACTTAAAAATTCAAGGTACTTTTATATAATTAAGAGTCAGTTTCTCTATTTAACCGAACAGCAAACAAAGATTCAATTAGTTCTGTGTACAGCTTGAATACCAAGCTTTCTCAAGGTCTCAACTTGCTGGACGCGGATATACCAGGGATATACTCTAACGGGCTAACAACAGCAACAATAAAATTCTCAATCGTACCACGAAGAAGGCGATGTAGCTCAGAAAACCTGATATTAAAAATAAGACTTTTGCTGGCGAAGCCAGTTGGCAGAACATCTTGGCTGTCAACAACAAGCTTTCGAATACATGACTAGTTTGGCTGTTCTTTCAGCGTCGTGTGTTCAAAATTCGTCAAAGATTTTGATAAAGACCTTTTAAAATACTATTTGTTTGATTTATTTTCTGCCATAAAGCATAAAAGAAAAGATATTCGAAGAAATCGATAATGGATTTGTTACGTGCGTTTGACCTTTATATTATTATTGTCCCGTTGAGCCTTTGACGAGCTATTTTTAAAACTGTTGTTTATGTGAACTTGCAACCAATCAAAATCTTAGGGCCTGAATTTCAGGTTAAATCTACAGGCACGATGATTTATATTTGAAGTATTCAAGCGCCAACAGCGGTATATATTTTTTATATAGTTTTCTTTGTTTTTCTTCATTTTAAATACTACTACTGTATTTATGGACCGCTCGGCCCCTCCAGGTAATGAAAATTTATACTAATACGTGCAAAAAATTACCAGAACCCGCCCGCCTCACAAAACGAACCAATTTCATTGCTCGACATATACAAGTGATCTATGGTCACAACCGCTAATTACAGAACGTCTGGTATTTCTATAATTATATTGGAACGAAACATTATTTCTTTTTTTAAAGAAATATTTTCTTGTTGTGACTAGAACGTATTATCATGGGCTGGAAAATATTGAAACGTGCACGGAGGCAATCAAAACATGACAGTTGCGCCAAAAATAGCTTAAGGCTTTTCAATGTGACACGTCACATGAGCGGTGAAACATTTCAGTTTCCAACCGTAAATGCCCCGTTTCAAACGTAAACAAACGCGCGAAAATGTTTGCGGTTTGTGCTTGGACGAAAATTGCTGTACAACTATAGATTAAGTTATTGATTCAGAACGCAAGTAAGAGCGGCAAACCGCTGGTGGCTTCATGCAGCACCACCACCATTATGCCAGCCAAATCAACGACCTCTACCACCTGCAGCTGATATAGTCCTAGACTTGCTCCAAGTTTGTCTTTCATTGTCAATGTCATATAGTATCGATCCACTATAGTGTACATTACATGACGTAGTACGGGGAGGCGGAGCGAGAAAGAGAGACTCTAATTCACGTCACCATACATTCGGTTTTCGGCCATAGTAAGCTCTCTTTGCACGTGGTGGTTCTTGACATCGTTTCTTGTTAGTATTTCCCGTACAGTTCTGAAAATTTGCTGTGCGCGTAATAGGTATGCATTAACGTTAACCTTCGAGTAGCTCACGTTTATGATGAAACTTTGAGGATTGAACATTTGGCGTTCTAGCAGGTGGTTGATGGCGTTGGTCAGAAGCGTCATTCTCATGGAGATCTCTATGTGCAAACCACCGACAAGGTTTGGCTTAGAGGTGAGGACATGGAGGATCGATGCCAGCCTCTGGGAGAGATTTGCTCCTTGACGGGTGTTTATGGGTGAGGTGATGGGTTCAGGTTAGGGTCAGGGTTTACCAGAGGTAATGAAATCAACTGATAATGAAGCTGTGATAAAATTATTAAAATTTATCTCTTTATGTTTTGAGAAGAGTACTAAATGCCTTCAAGTCAATAGGCTGTTTAACTATTATAAAAACCCAAACTTCTTCAATTATAATAATTGTAAATAGGGTACTCATCTGTAAACTAAGTCTTTCTTTATATCAATAACTTCATTTCCATTTCTTGTATTACTCGATAGTGACAGTATGTGATACTACCACAAAACATTTTGCATTTATAAATATTTGTACCAACTAATAAGCAATACTCTTATGTAAAGTCATGCTAATGAAGTAATTTGTTAGTGTTACTACTTCCCATAGAAATAAAAATTGGGAATCGAAATTAAGGACGGAGGGGAACAATACGAATAGCAAATTCGGGAACCAGGGCAGTGGTACGATACAAAGCCAACAAAGGGCCAGAGGGAGTAGAACAAGGTTGCCTGCAAATGAGGCTACATTCCACTATCAAAGTTCTTTCGTAAATTATTTTTGGGGCACCCCTTACACCTAGTGTCTGTCCCTGAACAAGATGGCTATTTACTGAGGCAGTTACTCTCTTTCTATTCTTTTTTTTTCCTTTTTTCTTTCTTTCCTTTTCCTTCTTTCCCCCTTTTTCTTCCTTCCCTTTTTTCTTTCTGCCAGCATAAAAAACATGTCTGGGACCGATGGTCCCATGGTCCGCTATATTTTCCACCCCTGATTGACAGTAACAGAATCTGCATCTAGCATCATTGTGGATACATGTGATGATGAAGACGAACGTCAGAAACTTGATGCTAGGGGCCGGTTGTTCGAATGCTGGTTGGCTTCATTGTCCAAGGTTAACCTAAAATTCAAAGGAGACTTCCCAACAGCTGGTTGATAACTTTGAAATTTTTCTTCAGATATTTTGTCCGGATTAATAGGTGTATTCTTTTCTGTTTGAAGTTTTGAAATAAACAATCGTGTAGAATAACACAACCGAAACAAAAGGTTAAATTTAACCCAGGATTAGCCCTAATCCAGCTTTGGACAACTGGCAGCAGGCAATTTCAAACAACAGAGATTAATATATCTTTTACCAGTCTAATTAATGGAGAATATTTACCTTCGCCTTCGGGGTTATGTTTCATTTAGAATGGAATTATCTGAGATACATTATTGGCGACCAAGAATCCATCATAAACCCCTTTCAAACACCAGCTGAATTCGCACAACAACGACATGAGAAAATACCAAATCCCAAGTACAGGTCTGGCTGTGTATGGCTGTTTGTTTGCTTGCTTGCTTGCTTGCTTGCTTGCTTGCTTGCTTGCTTGTTTGTTTGTTTGTTTGTTTGTTTGTTTGTTTGTTTGTTTGTTTGTTTGTTTGTTTGTTTGTTTGTTCCATTCTCATTCGTGAAATAGAACCTGATATTCATGCTAGATTTGCGAAAGTTCGCTAAACACACTTTAACGGTCATTTACAACGAGTAAATATTAGTAATCGTACAAACGACCTGATACAGGTATAAAGATAAATATTTTTCAGTGAAAGATGCCACTTTTGTTATGCAACGTTTTATGTAAAAGTTCCTGACTGATTTTCAACATGCATGAATAAGTTCACTTGCTACAATGGAATATTTGTTCCATTCACGAATTTACACGAGCAAATATAGTTGTTTTTTGTGTTGGTGTTATGTACTCAGGTGAATATGATGTTGTGATGTTTCTCAGAGTGTGCACCCACACCAAGCAAGCTGAAAAGTTGGCTTGACCACGGTGAGAATCGAATCTATATAGCTGCGGAATCGTGTGAAAACAGTCTGTCAACGCTCTGCAGAAAGTCGTGGGTTTTCTCCAGGTGCTTCAGTTCCCTCCCACAGGAAAAGTTGACAGGCTGGGATAGGATAAACCAGTGGCGAAGCCAGCCAAACATTCTTGGTCATGCTTCGAGCGGCGAAGGCTCTAGGCTTTCTAGGGGGTCTGGGGGCATGCCGCCCCCCCGTAAAATTTTCAAAGTTAGAACCCCAGAAATGCTATTTCCTGCGATTTGAACGTTGAATTCTAAGCTCCAATATGACCTTAAGAAGGGGCAAAATTTCGCAAATTTGCCCTATTTTAGCCAAAAATGACAATTTGATTACCAATTTGAGGAAGCATTACAGAATGGTAAACTAGGGATCCAAGGATAGTGTAAAGTTTCAAATTGAAAAAGACACTGCAACAACTATATAGGATTGCCCACAACCTAGACCAGTAGGTGCAGGCATAGGCTAGAGTAGGCACGTTATTCAAAAATGTGGATTAAAACAACGTTTTTAAGATTTTTAAAATTGGGCACATGAGTAGCGAGACGTTTGAAACAAGCCTAACACATCAGAAACGTCGTGCCTCGCGGAACTGATACAATTTATCATTTATTGTGATGCTACTCCTCGAAATTTATATTGTTTCACCAACAACCAAATTTTGATTATTCATTTCAAATTTTGATTATGCATTCGGAGCGTAAAAAAAGAGGCGAAAAAAACTCATTCATTAAAAGACACATTTTATCCCCATCCGTTCCGCATTTTATCCCCATATCCGTTCCATGGATCCAATTCGTCCGCTTCCGCATTTTAACTTTGGTGTGACATGTTTCGCAATAACTAGTCTCATTGACCTTTGATTTATTCCCAATATTCGCATGTATTCAATAATGTTACTTTAGATTTCAATATTTTCACAGTTGTAGCAGTGTTTATAGCAGTTTTGACACGCTCTGATGCAGATAGATTCTCGCAAGATCTGATAGATTACGTTTCGTTGCGCTGAACATGAGTTTGCGCCGTTGGCGTTGTGCTGCAGTGCTAGACATGTAAACAATTAAGGTCCGTTACTGTGCGCGTAAATCTGTGATGTAGCACCTTATACAGTAGATGTATAATGAATATGCGGTCTAAATAATGTCGGCAATACATAACATCAATTTATATATTGCGTAGAATCCCAAAGATTTCCTCAATATTTATGTTTGAAATGTTTATATATTTGAAAACTACACTGTCTCATTCCATCCTGTCTCACTCCATCCTCTGTACTTGATTGAATGCCCGTAATGCATAACATCAATCTACTGTATATATTGCGTAGATTCTCAAAGATTTGCTACTGGAACTAAAAGACTTTTGTAAGAGATCCAAAATAATATCTCCTGTACTTTCACACACGCTTGGTTGAATCGGATTAATTTCCATATTCATAACTATCTATTTCGCCATCGGAAGATGAATAATTCAGAAAATATTCGAAGGTTTATCATGCGTCGAAGCTCGAGCAGGAGTAAATGGCATATTTTTGCGTGTTTTGCATTCTTGAGAGCTGTTTTAGCCAATGGAATGCGTTAGAATTTTACATTTGTCTTGCTCGCCTGAGTTGAGCAAGACTAAACTTCGGGCAAGCCACCCATTTTTCTTGGCTCGATATTCAGTCAAAATAAGTTAAATAACATTAACTTATAATGAATTTCTCTGCTTAAAAATTTCTGCGCAACGTGCTGAAGTTAAGAAAATTGTGTAAGAACATATGTCAAGCTGGATAAAAGTGTTTTCTTTTAAAAATTATATGCGTAAAAAAATCATCTGAAATTTTGTATGTCATGCTCAGCAGGACATACAAGCAGGACATCTGGCTTCGCCACTGGAATAAACACTGTTAAGAAAGTAATCACAGTTGTTTTGTCACCAGTGATCGTATGTCCATTTGTATTTTCATTGTATTGAAATTTCCACTGTTCTCCAACTCATTGTGTTGACATTTTAATTTCGGCGTTTATTATATAGAATATTTTTTCTAACATGGCCCAAATTCTTTAGCCTTAACCATTAAATTATTCGTGATTGGTTGACATTTTTCATCTGCATTTGTGTTACACCATTAAAATGCATAAATGCTGGAAGCCTGGAACAATAACTCCAAGTAAACGGCCTGTAATTGGATGAAGCCAAGATGACGGCCTACAGAGTGATCTCTTGTAGGTATAAAATACGCGTGTATTTCGCGTGGGCTTCGCGAAAGGAGGGAAACAATTAGCCTTTCTCACGCCGCCATTTTTGGATGGCATTCCAGCTGAAGTCTGTGCGATAAGTCCACATAACAGCGACTTTTTATAATTTTTTTGACGAATGATGACAATGATGGTAAATTTGCTTTGTAAATGGATAGTTTATTTTGAGAAATTTCTTTTCACTTTGTTTAATTGTCTGCATTGGATAATGAAAATTCGGTGCCACCCAAAAATGGCGGATATTCGTCATCGTGAGAAAGACTAATTGGGTTTTCATATCGGAAAAATAATATTTTCCTATCGATGTTTTTCGTTTTTTCCACTTAAATGCTCGTTTTTAGTGCAAATACCCTACATAGAAGCTAAAAACTAAATAAAACTAAGCTGGAGCATCTGCAGTCCACATTATTCTGTGTTTAGTTTAGATTTGCTAGTGCTTCTCCCCGAGTTCTTTTCTAAACTTGTTTTTCATTCGTCAAACTTTGCCTCCCATGATGAAGTGTTTCTACAATTTGGTTATTTTGAAAGACTGTTTGATCTAGTTTCTTGGGACAATAGTGAAGCCGGAATAAAAAAATAGTTGGCCGAAAAATTATAACTTTTCTACATGAAATTATGCTGATTTTTCGTATTGTATTCAGTCAATTTCCGCGTATTGGCCTAGGGCATACCTACAAGACGGGTTCTTTGCCTTCAAAAACATATTCCGAGTTATCCTTCCCGTTTTTATAGGGTTCACTGCGTTACCTACCCATCTCCCTCTAAAAAAAAAGGAAATTTATTGGCGCGCGCGCATAATTGGCGCGCGTGGAAATGTATTTTCTTAAAGTGGAAGCATTTTCCCGCTCGGCGCCATTTTTAAAATTTTAAAATTTCAAGATTGGCGATGTTTGCACTCGTGTGCAAATATTTGAATGAAACGAAATGGATTTTGAATGAATTCACGAGAACTAGACGAAATTTTTACAAAGGTATGTATTTACATCGTCCATAGAATGTGGAAATGTGTAAATATGTCGTTTGAAATGAAATATCTGTAGAAATATTTGGGGTTCTGACACTCGATATGTCAAATTTCGGCGGGTTCGTCTTCGATTTTATTCTATTTTATGGGTGTTTTAAGCGAACGAATTTCTTATGCCGGTTTAAAATATCCTAGAGAGTAAGAATGTTCTTTCTGTCGGGAAATATTTGTCGAATTTGCGTTTAAATATCAGTATATGTCTGGACTTGTATTCCTATTTAGATCTTTATTTACCGGGGGGGATGATGTAAATTTTTCTTCCATTGAAAACGAGGCCAAGTTGATTAGTTGATAAAGTTCTTTTCTATGATGAATTGGACAAATATTGAACCCTTGAAAGTGGAAAAGAGAAGCTATTGACTTCTTAATGGTCTACCTGAACAGTGAACTTAAAAGGCAGATCAACATTTTTTTTATTATGTAATATCTAATGATCTATTTGTCTGGGATTAACAAGGTTGGTTTCCATGTAGTTAAACATGTGTATCATGGCCCTTAAACTCAGGTTCTTAATCCTGAGGTTTGGGAATAAGTGTGTAATGTCAAGAGATAGTCAATATGAAAATTCAAACACTTTAATGTCAGTAATTTTATATGATAATAATAGATCCTGTTTAGATTATGAAGGTTTTAAGATCCATATTTGGATGATATCAAGTTTACGTTCATGAAAGAGATTGTAACTTAACACTCAAAGTGTATACTCAACCTTTGCATGACCGAAGTTGTGCACCGGATAGAATTTTTTGCTATCGTACCGGATAGAGTACCAGGTACTGTATGCCGGATAACCTGGTCGGATACCGGATAATGTTCAGGCCGCCTTATTTAATTAAGGTTAAAGACTACTTTTAATGTATTTTGCTTTGATTTGAAATAAAAGGAAAGAACTTTGCAGTTTAATATCAGTAAACATGCATGGTTGCCCAAGCTATGCTCAACTTAGTTCAAAAGTACAATCTGCATTTACAAACAAGCATGGGAAATCATCAATTTCAAGTAAAAATAAGATAAACAAACCTACTTTCTTAGCCATATTAAATAATTTGTTAACCTCTGAAGAAGGCCTGAACTTTACATAAACAACATCTGGTTCGGATACAGGTAATATCCGGCCTGATACTGTCAGATAATGAGTCTACCTATCCGGCCAGATATGATATCCAGTGCATCACTATGCGTGAACAGGAATATTTTTACCCCACCGAGTGAGAATGGACTGAAAACCCTCTGTTGATAAAGACCACTCGACAGATATTTCAGATGAATTAATTGACAATTTAAATAACATTGTGTCAGAAATGATAGATATTTCATATGAATTAATTGAAATCAGTTTGCAATTTCCACAGAGTTATAGAGTGATAGAGTCACCCCAAGGCAGGGTGTTAGCCAGGATTTCATAAGTGGCCATCCAAAATAATTTTGTGGGTGTGGCAACATTTTTGTGGGCGTGGTCACATGTTTTGGGCGTGGCCACAATTTTCTGTTGTTGAGGAATTGTGGTGTTTTATTTGTTGAACCATTTTACTTTTAGATGCACATTTGCGTCATTAAATTAATAAAAACGCATGTATGGTATGATCACTACCGTAACTGTTTTTTAAAACAGCGGTTTCACATTATTCTCCTTGATACTTCATGCGAGAATCATCAAAATGGTTACAAAAACATGGCGCGAAGTATTCAAGAAATGTTACAAAGCTTGTAGGTTGCTATTTAAAGAAAATATTCCATTAGGCCGTCCATTAAAATTAGCCATCCAAATTCAGAAGTGGCCGTCCATAGGACGGTCGGACAGCCACCTGGTTAACACCCCGCCCAAACGTGGAGTCCAGTGTCAACCATCTGTGGCCCCAGTCGAGTTGAATCCGGGTATTTAATCCCCTCACACTTTCTATAAATTGGATTATTATTTGCAATTATGAAATCAGTAACCAAGTCAATTGTAATTATTAATATTCAACCCATTAAACCACAATGTGCCCCAATGTGCTTTTGTTTGTTTTTTTACTCTGTCTAATGCCAAACAATTTTAGTTGTCAAGGGAAAAGTATTGGACATTAATGTCGGTGTTAACCAGTCTAGTTGCACATATCTGTTGTTAACTAAGGCACAATGCACCCAAATGCGGTTTACTTGTATTTAACTCTGTCTAACGAGTAACGCCAGACAATTTTACTTGTCAAAGAGAGGTATTGGATATTAATGGAGTAATTTAATAACAGTACTGAGACCATGCTACCAGAATGAAATAATTTGAAATAAGCTAGTTGTAGTTAGCTGAGTTTCCTCCAGTCGTTTGGAGCAGTTCAATTTAAGATGGCTCCCTACACTTTTTAAATTTTTTTAAATTAAAGATTTTTTTATTTGGATATGATTTTCTGGACAATTATTACTTGTTTAAAAACGAAGAGTATCTGACTAGCATAACACAATAACTAAAGAGTTAGATTTTTCAAAAACTACTTCTAATAGTTGTTGCTATGGCAACAATGACGTCACAACATGGCAGATATTTTATGTTTAAAGTAATTTAATTCGAAAAAAGGTCGGTTACCCACATTTTTTAATTCATAAAATGATTTCTATTGATATTTTGAATTTTTTTAATTAAATTTAAATTTAAAAAAAAATTCTGTCATGCCGAAATTTTTCAAGATATGAAAATGTGAAAATTGGTAATAGTTTTTTTTGCCATATAATTTTTTTTAAATCATGAAAATAATTCAAAATACTAAAAGAAATCATTTCATGAAATAAAAAATGGGGGTAACCCAAGTTTTTTTCGAGTTAATTTACTTTAAACATAAAATATCCACCATGTTGTGACGTCATTGTAGTTTTTTTTAAATTCCGAACTCCTTAGTTATTGTGTTATACCACTCAGATCAACTCTTTGTTTTTTTAAAATAATAATTCTCCAGAAATTCATACAAAAAAACCTTTAATTTTTAAAAATGTGTAACGAGCCACCTTCAAGTCAAGTTGTATTAATTACTTTTGTATTGGTTTAGTTGCTGACTTGGCTTAACTTTTTGAGAGAATTACTTATTAGCAGCCTCAGGATGTATATAAATATATTATGATACAATATTATACAATTATAATTTATATAATAATTATACAGTACTTATTCAAAAGTGGCTCCCTTCATGGCTGTTTAATATGGCTTTAGAAGAGGGAAATATTGAAAGGATTATAATGATTATTGCTGTCAGTATGCGTTAAAATTTATGTAATTAAGGATTGTCTTTCTTTGAACTTGGATGTTGTTGCTATAATTACATGTATTATATTGTAAGCCCAGTCATTATTCTGCCTTGGTTATAAGTACGTTTAATTCATAAGTGCTTACTGAACCACTTAGTTTGATGCCAATGAAGGGCCACATCTTTTAGTAAATGTAGGGGTGCTTATCATATTTCTATGCAGTTCAGAGCTTATTTTATGGGGCGCAGCACCTTCCACAGGGTTCGTAGCGGTCTTTCAAATCCTTGAAAGTCTTTAAATTTGAATGCAGGTCCTTAAGGTCTTTGAAAAGTCTTTGAATTGTGTCAAAAAGCGAGGAAAGTCTTTAAAAGTCTTTAAATTCTTTAGTGAGTTTTTGATTATACGATTTTCTAGCTAATAAAGTAGATTGATTGAAGCAAGATTTTCGCAAATATCGATGAAAAGGTGCATTTTAGGATGTGATTTGACGGGACTAATTACCGGGTAAAAATGGTGCTTACACTCGCAATTTTTCGACAGCTGATTGCTCTCAAATGTCTTTGAAAAGTCTTTGAAAATAGGCAGAAAAAATCTTTGAAAGTCTTTGAATTTTTTTGGTCTTGAAGACTACGAACCCTATTCCGTGGCCGAGTGAAATTGGGAGCCTCATGACCCATGGCTGACCTTGAAGTGCTGCTATGCTAGAATTGTTAGCTTTTAGTTAGGGAGAGTTTTGAAGCACATAAAGTCTGAGCAGGGTAATCACCATTTTGAGTTGTAATACGAAACCTTCGACTTAACCTGCCAGGCTTAATCCAGTGTTAAGCAGTGCAGGGCAATTCCATGGTAGAGGTTTTTTTTCTTCTTAATTTTATGAAAATTTTAGTGATTATGGTGGAAAATAGACCTAAATAACATAAATTGAGCAGAATATCAATTTAGTATTAGTTTTTAGGGGTCCGAAAGTAAAGACTTTTTATCGGTAGTTTTGGAATACCAATCACAACAGTTTCTGGCTTATGTTATGTATTAGGGCCACCCAGCAGTTCTATTCTTAATACAGCAACATTAGGTATATGTCTGCAAGAAAAAGTGTTTTTTTTTCTTAAAAAATTAAATCGTAATTATTTAATTTAACTATGACATTCCAAGTTAGTGTTTTGAATCGATGAAGTACGTACAACTTATTTCTTACTTTATGTACTGTATGAACAAGTATGAAAAACAGATAAAAACCCAAAACTGCTACACACATGCACGACAATTAATCATTCAGTTATGTAACATCCGTCACATGTAACGTCCATGACATTCAAAAGTGGGTAAATACAGTATCTTATTTATCAATACAATTTTTCTTGTATTTAAAAAGAAATTAGTATCACTCTGGTAGTATCACCACCATAAATGAAGTATATGCCATGTTCAAGGTAGCCAACGCTGACATTAGAATAGGACGCAGTAAATTCAGCGAATTAAGACCAAAGCATGTACTTCTTGGTAGTTAGTTACCGCGAAATATATGTCTCTGCAAGTACCACGAAAACTTTCTTATGGCTGTCAATACCCTTAGCAAAGAAGTTGGAGACATAATTTCAAAGTACCACCATGATCTCCCTGCAACGTTGGTTTGCGCAGCCGCCACAGACGATTGTTAGTTTAACCAGTGCCCTACATGTAGTGATGCAAAACTACTAAGAAGCATGTTTTTGCTAGAAGAGTCGAAATCCAATAAGCCATTACTTGGTATGTTTGGGGAAAAGATGGAGATGAGAGACTCCACAAGATGGTAAAGGACGGCGCAACAAATGACCTGTTTAATCATTTATGCTCGATACTCCCAGCTTTCCTACAACACTCATAGAGATTATAAATAACACTAGAGGAGGCATTGTAATCTTAATTCAGTAAAAAAAGGAACGTGACTATTGGGGGGCAAATTCAAGTCCCGGATGTGTATTCGTGTTCCCATTGGTGACGAGTTTCAAATCAGCCAATGAGAGCACGATTTTATATCCGGGACTTCAATTTGCCCCCCATTAGCTGCGTTCCCAATTTTTAAACTCGATGCCTCCTCTAGTGTTATTTATAATCTCTATGACAACACTGCCATGTGAAAAGAAACCAGGTGGATAGCTACAACAAGGAAAGAGAGGCTGTTGATTGTGAAGATTTTGACAAGTCATTTGCAGGTCGACTTCTCGGAGAACTGCACATGTATGTTTCAAGATGAAATACAAAGTACTCACTTGAAGCAAGATCAAATCACTGCAGCCTTTTGGTTTGATTGTAAGCTCCACCCGACAGTTATTGCATCTGATGACTTGAATCATGGGAAACAGACGGTTGTGGCCTACATTGATCACCTCCTCGACACTCTTCCTGCAACCGTGAAACCGTACTTGTTAAGGAAAACCCCACATTATTTGCTTAATTTGATTTTTCGGTACTATAACTACAAAGTAAATTTTAAAGCAATTACTACCGTATATTGTAACAGTCAATTTCTTGCTAGGCCTAGAATCTTTTGTTTTCGCGGGTCAATGGCGCGGATCTCAAAATATGTTATTACCTCTTCTTTTTTACATAAGGGACCGGTCATTATTTATGGCGGGGGGTGGCACCGAAGAGAAAAGGGTTGGGTAAACTACATTTTGAGTAACTAAAAGGGTGGGTAAATGAAAAACAAAACAACTCAAGGGTTGGGTAATAAAAAGTTATTGTCATTTCCAGAGCATGACTCACTTAAATATTGCAGACTGAAAAGCAATGTCAACAGTCGTATGTCAATACAATATGTGAGTCAATCAGAGTCACTATCTTGATCATTTAAAGTTTGTTCGTTCACTGCAACCAGGTATATCAATCATGTTTCGCTCACTACTCTGGTTTCCGATTTGTTGGGAGACAAATGGTGTCTCCAAAGAAAGTACATGTACATACAACATGAAAGTTTAGTTATCAAACTTGTGTCACAGAAGTGGTAAAGGACATGTGTGACAACTGAATGGTATTCTTTTGTAAAGGTTTTGGCCAGGGGTGGGTAGTTATTTTTTAATTGATATTTGAGGTTGGGTAATGAAATTTTTTGCTTTTTAATGGTTGGGTCAGCAAAATTTTTACCAGGAAAAACATTTCTCTTCGGTGCCACCCCCCACGATAAATAATGACCCGTCCCTAACTTGATATTCCTTCATAATCTGTCAAATATAACATCCTTAATAACAAAATCTTCTTAACAAAAAAGGCATGAATGTTTTACAATTTGGCCGCCGGCAATCCTTCCCCCTAACATTGATGCCGAATCTACGAACATTTGAAACCTGAAATATTGATGTACTGAATGAAAGGAAAATCCTTCGTTGTTAATGTCTGTAATGGATTCCTATACAGCATATAATAAATGATAATGCTTGAGAACTACTGGCAAAAAATTGCTGTCGATAATTTAATATTCATTTCGGCGGTATTATGGAGGACAATTGATGTTTGCTAACGAAAATTCCATTGTCTATTTCTGTCACATGTAGATGGATGAAAATACAAAGAAAATGCCCGAGAAGGAAGATTATGAACGATGTCAAGAATATTGTGATGGGAATATCGCGATCTTTTATTGTCCTCAATGTTTGACCAACTACTGTGCAGAATGCTATGAAAAAGAACACAAATTGAAACGAAGAAAGGAAAACCATGAAAAGATCTCTACACCTCGTAAAGTATGCCGAGAACACCACTTAACACTGGAATACCAAAACAAATCACGATACATGTGCTGTATGTGTGTTAAAGAACTTCCTCCTGGAGAATTGGCTAGAAATATCATTGAACCTATAGATGGTGTGGCTACAGTCCTAAAGGAAAAGCTTGAGGACAGGATTAGAGAACTAGAATTGGTTTCACAAGCAATACATAAGAAGATTGAAGCAAGTGACGAAAGCATTAGTTCTGCAGTAGAATGCGCAAGATCTGAAGTGCGAAGGTTTTTTACTGCTCTTAACTTGCTCTTAAATAAGCAAGAAGAATCATTTCAGCATCAGCTTACATCATTGTTACATACAACGACATCGAAACCCATTTTTAATGAGATGAAAGAAACGTTGGAAGCTATGGAAGAACTTGTCAAAAAAGGTTAGTGAAATTAATGTTTAAGTTGACTCCATACTCGTTTTTAGCAAGAGGGAAACTTACGATTTATACAGCACATTTATCGTGATTTGTTTTGGTATTCTAGTGTTAAGTGGTGTTCTTCTCTTTTCATTGTTGTTCTTTCTTCGTTTTAATTTGGAATGTTTCAGCAACTGTTACTTGTCGAAAGGCAAACAGTATCTGAGTTATACAGTAGAAAACACTATCGGATCGGTATGAAATCAGTTGAATGTGGTTGATATTTTTGGTTTAAAATAATTTATAAAACAAAAACAGTGCCCCTATTTTTATTTTATTTTTAGTGAAAATAATTATTTATTAGCCAGCTTTCAAAGATATTGAAAGAGTAATTTTTATACGCTTGGGATTTGTTAATCGAAAACATTTAACAAAATAAAACATGAGATCATCGTTTTTTCGAGTTAAATCGGTTTACAGCAACGGTCTTACTGAAACGTTACCGTAGCAACGGCACTGACGTCAATTTTGGTAGTAATTTCGTACTTTCCAGGTATAGTATTTTCCATGATTCAGATACTATTTGCTTTTTCAACTAGTAACATTTCCAGTTGCTAAAAACAGCAGGGAACCACCTAATGTGTTCTTTTTTTACATTCGTCATGTACTGTATAGTAAAGGTCACGTACAGTAAGTGATGATGATAATATGTTACTTTCATGAAGTTGTTATTTTAATGTATTTGTTGTTTTACTTTGTTTTTGTGATGTTATTTGGCGCTGGTTCTGTTTGTCGTACTGTAGATTTTGACTAAGTTTCTCTTGGAATCGTTATTGTTATAAATATATCTATACAGTACATATATTCCCAGGTTGACAATCTTGGCAAGATCCTGGTTGATTATGCCATGATCTTGTCATGATCTATTGATCTTGGAAACAAATCCTCCAAGATACCATAAAATCTTTGCAAGATCCTCCAAGAACTTGCCATGTGATCCTGCAAGATCTTTGTATACACCGTTTTGCCACGTCATGTTCGCAGTTTGAAGTTACTGTATGTCTGCTCGCAAACAGACGTTGGTACATCAAAAATTAGCAAATGAAATTTGAATCCTCGCACGCAGTTATTTATTCTCGTCAATGGAGGTTTCGCATTTCAATATGCAAGCACATCGGATAAACAAAACAAGAGTTCTATGTTTTTTTCGACCTGTAGTTTTGTTTTTAAAAACATTTATTGCATGTCGTTAAAGGCAATGTGGATCTGCAGCGGTAACAAAATTTTCACAAACTAATAATACTGTACTTTCTTCAAATTGTTTGTACAAATGCAGTATATGATTTTTACTTTTATTTGGGGGATTTTAGAAACATTTGCTGGATTAAAATAGATTTATTCTGGACTGTAGCAACACTATAGTAGACTTAATTCGCATCTCGCTGCTAAACCATGGCGATCTTAGTAAGATCACGGCAATATTCTAGATGATGCGAAAGATCATGTCAAAATCATGTCAAAATCTTCAATCATGGCTGTATCCCTATTACGTTAACAATCTAAACAAGGTTTTGGAAAGTCATGGTAAGATCTTGGCAAGATCATGGTTGGTGAAATGTTTGCACGATCGCGACAATTCTTCAAATATCATGGCAAGATCTTGCCAAGAAAACAGGATGAGAGCACAATCATGGCAACTTTGTAAAATCTTGGCAACGTCATCACAAGATCTTGAATGATCATGCCAATACGTGCCAAGATCGTAATAGGATCATGGTACAATTGTGCCTAGATCTTGGTGAAATGTGTCCAAGATCATAGAAGATCACGGCAAGATGTAATGACAGCACGATCATGGCGACTTCTTGATGAATTTCGGTGAGCTCCATATATATATCTGAAGCAAGGACTCGAGTCCAAAAAGTGAAGCCAGCTTCATGTTAACCGCGCAGACAAAAACAATGGAAACTGACTGGAAAGGGAGTGGAACTGACGTCCTATTACTCTTCGATTTCCGCCATCTTGGCAAGGAGTGTACCGAAATTTCGTACTTTGACATCGATTCAAGGAGTGACACCATGGTTTTATGAACTGATAACTTGTTTAGGGATACGGTCCGTTAGAAAAAACTGGTATTTGCTAGGGAAAATGGTATTATAATTGTTTACGGCCTTCGTAGCTATTGGACGTCAATTTCCGCCATCTTGACTTCACTTTTCGCATTGACTGAATGGCTGACGTCCTTGCTCCAGATATATATAGAGCTGACTGGTTAAATATTGATAAAGTTACGGCAAGATCTTGAAAGGCCTTAGCAAAATGAAGCAAAAATTGTAACAAGGTTGTCGTACACTCATGTAGCAAGATCCTGATGAAACCTTGGCAAGATCTTGAAAGATCATGGCAAGGTATTTCAACGATTGTAACAAGATCATGGTACAATTATTGCACGATCTTGGTGAAATTTTGCCGAGATCGTGGACGATCATTGCAGGATAATGAGCAAAATGTATTGACGTTTCTTTTTACAATGTTCCAAGATCCTTTCAAGAAAATAGGAAAATCGTGGTAAGAACATGGCAAGAACAATTCTTAATTGAATTTTGTATTAAAGAAATTGGCAAAATGTCCAACCTTCCAAAAACCTTTTTCCTGGATATGGTGTTTCTTGCTTTTTTTCCTAAAACATTATAACGTACAGTAGTAAACTAATAAACAAATGATTTTATGACTCATTTTGACTGGACAGCGATATCTTATCTTTTCAGGTAAAGCATTATTATGTGAAGACAATCTGGTTGTTGCCAAAAAGTTTGATCATATTTCAAGAGTAATTGATGGGCTACTTGACTGTGAAAATATCAAGAAATTCCCATCACCAACGTTGAATGTATCTATCAATGTTCATCGACATCTTCTTGAAATGGTCAGACATCCTGGATATATATCCACCACTTTCGACGAATGTAGAGGTATGTACATTTGCTGCCGTTTCTGAATATATCAGTCGATCATCTCAGTAGCTCAGTGGTTACAACCTGCAGTGATCCACCTTTCTCTCAGCTTCGATTCCCGATTAGCATTAGCACATACAGATGTCAAGTTTACATTAAATATGGAAAGTTGTAAGTTTTGTGACTTCTGCTTTAGTAGTTCTTTCTCTTCTTACCTGTTTCTAACTAATATTTTGCTTTTCTGCAAAACATAAATCGGATAGCAGGCTGATCCCCCGACTTTGAATTTATCCAAAATTAACACGACGTAATTAGTAACTCAAGCAAAACATCCTTGACCTAGATTAACCCGTACAGAGATTAAATCGCGCTAAGTGTAAGTCACTCCATGACAAAAAGTGTAACAGTATCTTTTTCTTCAATGTTTAGGAAATGTTGTGTATAAATGCGAACAGAAGCCAAAGAAGCTTGATGAGAATCTAGAGAAGAATTTTAACACAAAAGAACAACAAGATATTCGTGAAACATTTCCTACTCCGCCTCAAGTCGCAATGTGTTCACCACCAATCAGTGTAACAGGGGATGATGAAGATATGTCATATTCGCTGCTGCCTCAATTTTCTCGAAACTCAAGTCCAATATTCGATAGTACTGAAGAGGTTTGTACATGCACTACACTAACTACAGTACTTCTTTTGTTCCCCATGCACATTAACTACTATCTTGCCAAGACACATTTTTTCAAAATGCTTTTAGCAAGCTTGTCAAGAATTTCTATCGGGAGTATTCTTTCTCCCTAGTTGCTACCAATTTTATTACGTTTGGTTTTTTACCATAAAAATTTCTGAACATTTAGACAAGTTTTTCCATTGCGAAGTGCTAGCAAGTTTCTGAGAACACCTAAATCTGGTTTTTACGATAGAAGTTTCTTTTGTTGCATCTTGGTTTTCAGAAGCATAAGTCGTTTTTTGATATGTCAAACACCAAGAAAATGCTTAAAAATTGACATACTATTTATCTGGTCTATTAATATTTATCTGGTCTATTAATATTTACCTGGTCTCATTATCCCTGTATAGTTAATCCAGGGCAAAGAATTTTCGCTTGAGTTCCTAATTACGTCGAAAATATGTTATTTTTTGGATTAATTCAAAGTCGAGGGATCAGACTGGTTTCCGATTTATGTTTTGTAGAAGAGCGAAATATAGTAATAACTGGTCACTACCTTATTACCTTAACACAGTCTTTTATTCTAAACATTCGCTTCACCATTGGCAAATTAAGTATTGTGTAGTTTTTGTCTACGTATGTTTTTGACACGGCTTTTCCGAGGAGGATTGTTGTCTTTTTCCATTTTAGTTTTCTACAAAGCTTAATTGATTGACGGATGTTAAAAATAAGTTGTGGGATTTTTTTCCAAGGACTCGACATTACGACCACTGGCTGTGAATAATGTGAATGACAAAGATATAAATAAAGCGAACCCTCGAAGTTCACTGTGTTCATGTAATTCTGAAATGTCACTTGATACAACGCAAAAACAGCAGCAGACAACAAAAGCGGATACTGCATACCAGAGGACAGAAGATAAACAAGGTACTTTCATTACAACCTCGACAGATTTTAGCGAAATAATAAATTCTTAGGAGAAAAAAGCTAACTAAAACAAAGTACAGTAACTTCTTGTTTCCATTCTTCGTTTTTGAAATTATTCCTACTGCAGGCTTTATAAATATTTCCATTCCGAACTGTTCCGCTGTAATTTAGGTATCGTGTTAGTAGATTTATTTGGTATTCAATAATTTCAATAATTAGGTATTCAGTATGTTAGTTTTTAATAAGTGTAATTTCCAAAATTTGGCTATCAAACATCAAAAAATGTCTGAAGATTTCAGCAAAAATTTAGATCGTCAAAAACAGTTACTTTGCTGTTTTAGGAGTTCTTTCGTTTACAGTAAACAAGTATTAAACATTTCTCTTTAATTGTGATGTTTTTGTACCCTGTACATGTACATGTAGTCAGAAATTGGAATAGGTGGTGGATGGTATTGAGGGATGGTCACCTATTTCGGTTCATTAACAATATATATGCCTTGCCCTTTTTTGCTGGAAATTCCATTCTTTAAGGTGGCTCCCTAGGGTTTTTTAATTTACTACGCTATAGTATTCAGGAGACTCCTGTTTCTTTACTTTACATGACATGAAAACGAAATTTATTGGACACATTGACAATGTTCTCCTGAACATTGCAAATTGCTACTTTTGTGTTAAAATATGTTGTCATGGCAACAGCATGCTTAGAATAAAGCTCAAAATTTGTCTTTTTCAGATCATTTTAAAAATTCCCTTCGGTGAAATTTTTTAAAACTTTGCATGAAAGATAATACTTGTAAAATGATTTTTTCCCCTCAATTTAAAAAAATTAAATCTATACGTTTCTTAGAAAATTTAAAAAACGTCAAAAATCAATATTAAAAATTTTCCTTTCGATTTAATTTTAAGAAAAAAAGGATATTGCACTTGTTGTGCCGATATTAAAAAATGTGCAAAGTTTTAAAAACATTTACCGAAGGAAAACAGAGAAATTTGGGGTTAATTTTTGGCAATTTTTACTAGATTTTTACGTGAACAATTTAATACCCCAACTGACGTGTACATGCATTCTGCATAAAACAACAAGGCATGACTTTTTTGAAATCACAAAATATAAATTATGTTTGATATACTGTTTATAACTGTGTCGGTTAATGGTCAACTAAGCGTGGATTATACATGTAAAATTAGCAAATATATTTATGTAATTACTGGTTATGACTTCTTGGTATTAATTTGAAAAATGTTTGTCAAAATTCGTCCCGTGCGAGTTAGTACTATCGTCGGATGTTTTCGCAAAATGCCCGTTCAAATATGTATAGTCAGGTATATCTGTATAGTCAGGTATGTTTGGAGTTTCGGCCCTGCTCATTTCACCCGTAGAGGGCTCATTATTTAAGTCATCTTTATTGTCATAAGTGCTGCTAGATTGTGGAGAAAACACTGCAAATTCTTGAGGAAACTTTATATCATATCCCAATGTTCGCGATTGAACCTCGCGTACGGCGGTTCAAAAAACTTCCAGAATACCGCTTGAAAAAAAAACAAGTTTACATTATCTTCTTTTGAAACATTACATCCAAGTATTTCGTTTGGCTTTTAGAACTCTTTTTATGCTTTCAACTAAAGCAAAGTTCACACTTTTGTTTAAAAAAAGAGTTCCATATAAAACACAACGTTCGTTCGTATTTTGAAGTCACACGAGCCTAGTAATACATATATATGAAGAACGTAACCCCCGGAAATAAAACCCTAGGGAGCCACCTTAAACTTTTGCAAAAGTTTAAAAAATGTTACTTAATAATAAGTTACCAAGCTTTTGTTGTTAAAGGAAAATGGCAACACAAATTATGCTTGTCAAATTTGAGAGAACGTTGAGAATATTTATACAAAGTCTGTTTTCAAATATTCCCATGCAAAGTATGTTAATTTTTTTAGATATTTTGAACCAAAGATTTGGTATCCGCCTAGTTGTTGTATAATTAGAACAATTAAATGACATCTCAACAGGGTGGACTTTTTGAAGTAAAAATTAATCTCAGTGGAATGTTTATACGTAGCTTCATCTTTGGTTTAAAAAAAGCAGTATAAAAAATGTGGCAATTAGCATTAAAATGATCCGAGAATTGTTAAAGAAAAAATAATTTTACCCTTGTTGTGCCGCGGGTTTATATGCATTCGTGCTTGCTTCAAACCACATGGGACGTGATCGCACAGTGCTATGGTGTTCCAGTAGCGCTATGGTGGTTAGGCCGGTTGTGAAGATGCTGATGCGCGCGTATTGACTAACTGAATTACGCATGCGTGATTTTGGTGTTGACAAAAACGTTGACTGCTTGATAAACTCTCTAGTGCGACGGAAAAGTAGGGAAATAAAAGGGACTGCTCGAGACATGTTAATTAATGCCACTGCATGTCCTGATGTTCTAGATTCGTACAGCAAGTGTAAAGAAAACAAGGAAAACAAAAATGTAAAGAGAAAACTCAGCGACAAGAACCTTTATTTGCCGTTTCCGAGAAAAACAAGACGCACCGAGGCATCTAAAGAATTGAATGTAAGTATAATGTGTGGACAGAAATTCCAAACTAAGCCCGTTTAAACGAAGATAGCTTTTCATACTGGATGTTCTATCATTTCAAAAGCGCTCCAATAGAGCCCATGCCCATACACCCATTGGGAAAGTATATAGCCGTGGCTATAGAGCCTCTTTCTGTCTTGGAAACTTTGGCTTAAGAGCCCTTTGTCTTGTTAGTGAGTACAAGATTATAAATAGGTGTTTTATACTTACGGATATAACTGTACGCGTTTGTAAATGTGTGACCTGTAACAAGATAAAGGACTTTATACTTAATATCTCAATCAAGAAAACGAGGCTCAAAAGCCAAGACTGAGCACTTTCTGGAAGGGTTTTCTACTATTTATGACAGGAAGATATCGGAGGATGCGGTGAAGATCTTGTTGTAGATTGAAACTGTATGCACTCTTTCAAAATGCATGACTGAGGCAAAATTATATTGAAATTGTGTAATACCAGAAGGCAAGTGCTATCGTCGAGGTCTTCACCACTGCGCATGCACTAGCTAATGAAGACGTACTGACACATAGTGAAAAAGTATACTGATAGTAAACGATCTTCTGAACCGTCTTTTGCTTTCAGCTATGTGACAAGTTGCTAACAGAACTCTGGGTCTCCGATAATTCATTTCCGTTTGCAAGACCAGTTGACCAAAAAAAGGTAATGTGCATATACAGTAGTGTATAAATTTAAACCTTTCGACATGGCAAGTAACTCTATGCATGCATCTACTGTAGTTCTGGTTGATTATTAACTTCTTATTAACCGAGGGCGAGGTCTTTACAGAGAAATATCGCACCGAAGTCTTTTTGTACAGACCGAGCCCGTAGGGCGAGGTTTGTACAAAAAAGACCTCGGTGCGATATTTCTCTGTAAATACCGAGCTAGCGAGGTTAATAAAAAGTTTATTATATGACATTTATACTCGAAACAAACAAGAAATGCATGATTTGAAATGCATATTTATTTAGTAGCGTGGTACACATTTGGTCGAAGAAAACAAAAGTTACCATTGTATTCCTTCCTTTCCACTTAAAACCAGTCGCAGATATCTTATAAATTAAATTATAATTTTCAAATTTTCAATTAGTTTTGCTGTTTTGTTTTAAAATGCACGCGTTTGTCTTTACGTAATGGACCGCCGGTCCTTTACGGGAAAATAATGGACCGCTGAAAGTGCTTCTCAGTCAATCACAGTCCGCCATTTCACTGGAAGTGATGCTTGCCATATAATAAAAGGAGTTTAAAGAGCGTTCGGCTCGAACATTATGTCATTCCGGATCTACTGTTTGTAGAAAGATGCTTAAGATGATAATTTAACAATTTATGTACTATTTAAAACACGAGTTGGAGTGCTTTATCATATATAATACACGAGGCGACAGCCGAGTGTTTTATGTATGTGATAAAGCTCGGAATGCGAGTGCGTGAGCAAATCACTGCTCAAAAGTTGAAAAATCCACCCTATCGATACTATGGTCAGTACGGGATGACGTAAACATACAGCGTGCGTTTCCCATGACGAATCTCGTACTCGGAGTCGCTGCTAAAGCTACAATGAATTGACTTCAATGTACTTAGTTGCCAAGCCCGAAAGGTACTTTTCGCGAACCAAAATTTAAACAAACAAATATAAACATCGCATGATTCCTTGGCTTAATTCGATCAAATATTTTTATAAATTTTGTACTGAACAAAATGTTTTCGCTAACTGAAATTTGTACAGTATAGTTGCGTGTCAAAAAGCATTTTTCAAGCATATTCATACTGTAAAACGATAAGGAAAATAAATCATTTTAATTAGTTTACCTTATGTATTGTCTTGTTGAGTAGAAAGGCATATATTGCATTGAAACTAAAGGCTTTTTTCCGGGGGGGGGTTTATCGCGTCGTTTTAGCGGTTTGTCAACCATGCTTGAACTAAAGTAACAAAACACCACTGATATCAAATGTACTTCGCAATAACTGGACTTTTTTTTAATTTCATGTAAAATGTGTATTCTAAGCCATATATGTTTGGACTCCAAATGCAAGTGAATTCAAATTTGTTTCTTTCAATGGCGCACTCAGTGGTACGTGACCTGAAATGAGCTAATTAGTTATGCGTACAGTACCTTCTGCGTGCCGAAAAAAAGGGAGCTAGGAAATATTCCACTTGGCAGTTTCAATAAGCAGTAAAGTTACTATTCTAACGAAGATAATGGAACAACGTTTTTTTGAAAATCATCAACAATACCCATCACGCAAGAACTGTACCGTAGGATTACTAGAACTACATTAATGCAAAGGCCGCGCCCTATAATAACTGACTAACGTATTAAATATTTTTTAATCTTTTTACATTTCCAATAATATAACCACTCAGCACAGCGTTTTCACATTGGTACTACCTACACTCGTACAGACAGTTTTAGTATTCAATTATTATCCCCATCATTTCCGTCAGATAAAGGCGGGCAAATTATCGGTGGAATGGCCCCTCTCATGTTCAGCCCCCTTTCTAATGTTTGGGTTGCCTTTCATATCCCCCGCTTCTGTTTTCACGCGCCGCACCCTCTCTTCGGCTCTTCTAATTGGAACACCAGACCAGCCAGGTATGTTCAGCGTTATCAAAACCATGACTCGTGCCGTATAAAACATTTTGACACATGGCCTGGGAAATGTCTAGTAATAGTTTGCCGAACATAGCTCGACGATTGGGTTTCAGTGAATAGATGATGTTGTACTTCAAAAATGATCATTGCATAATGTCAATAGTGAAAATTCATTACTTTCGTAATATACAATATACCATTCGACTGGACAATTTTTGCTTCATCCATTATATCAGACTTTTGTCCAATGCCAACTGAACTGCTGGAGGTAGTCGCTAGCCCCAGTGTAGCAACGTGCGATGATGCGCGTGAACATTAATGCATTCAAACACTCAGCATGCTACTTCAATATTTGTCAAATTACAACAAAGCCTGATACTCAGGTTATTGTCCAGATCAATTTGCTTCATGTTGCTGTTGATTGTCTGCAAATGCATTAGTGACAGGTTTCAGTTACCTTCTTTAATACTGTGAGTTTAAACATTTAACCGTCTGTTTGAACTGGCATTTTTATGTTGCCAATATTAACCTGTACTTTAACCTATCATAACATCTAATACTATTGCTTAATGCACGGCTTTAATTTTAAAAATAAACGTCATCTATGCCGAGAAAATCAAAGTTAAAGTTCATGTAAATTAACATCACTCTTGCATGTTTTTCCCAAATTTCACTCGAAATCATACTATGACTTATACATATAAAACCAGCGACAGCGCAGTGATTTTCTTTGTCTTTTCTTCATGAGTTATTAATGCGATTTTTAAGAAAGGTTTGAAATTCGTATTAATGAATCTGAAACTTTTGTAAGCTTTTGTTCAAGCATAAATTCTTGCAAATTTGTGAGCTTTTTACAGTGACATTATCTTGTACGTGATGATTTGATAGACATGAAATATTTATACAACTCAAACATATGCATTAAACTCCAACCAAACTGACAAATATACAAGTTGGCTAAATCATATACGTGAACTGTAGTGTGTTTTTGAACAAGGCGGGTTTTTCTATTCGTCTAGTTTTGTGCGAGTCTGTGGGTCAAATTATCAAATTACATAATTGCCAGGTTAAAATTGTATTCTATGTATATCACTTCCTCCTCGACGATTGCCTATAGTCCATAAAGAGAAGTCTGCGTGTATTTCCTCAATCTCGTTCTTTGCCCCACCATGACTTTATTCTTCACGACATAAATTCAAACACGACAGTTAGTGCTTCCGGCATAGACATTAAACTTCCAGAAGATCGACAATTTCTTTTTTCTCTTTCAGTTTTTTGGTCAAATTATTTTACAATTTTTGCACTTCATTTTATTTTGATGACGATGAAACAAAACTCTTTGTACATACCATATAATATCTTTGAGGTCACCACTAATACTCATTTGGAGGCTACCCTCTGCTGTTTTCAACCTTGAATACATGCAGCAGCTGCAGCTGTCCTAACTCTTATTACTGCAAGCAGAATTCAAGCTTTATGTCTCGAAACACCAAGCAACAAGAAATTTAAAATCATTTTCTTTTAATCCAGGTCCCTAAATATTACGAAGTCGTAAAGAATCCGATTGATTTGACGGCAATCAAAACGAAATTACAAAGTATAATCTATGATTCAGTGTATGATTTTGTTGATGACATGAAATTGTTGTTCGACAACTGTTTTCTTTTTAACCCGGTAAGTAAGTGTGAAATGTATTCACAAGGATTTATTTAAGATTAAGAGCTCACTTGAAAAATAAGAAGTTTAGCCGACCAGTTTTTAACAGACGGTCACAGATGTCCTGAGAAATTATTGTCTTTAAAAGGCGACTTGATAAGATTTTTTGTTTCTTGAGAACCTCCAAAAAAATCCACTGTTTTTGTTCGCTCTAGCAGTCTAGCTACTTTATTCGTTTCGATACTTTTTTTTCAATTCTTTCGTTTTATTGCCACATAAACGAAAAAAAGAAACGAGGAAATAAAATTGTTTGCCCAAGTTATCCAAAATGATAAGAAATCGCTCTTTACTTTCATGTGAACGAGAAATTTAGTTTCTTAAAAAGATTGCAAGTTGCAAGTTTTGGTGAGATTTCAACGGAGTGCAACTTGTTTCGCGACCCGCAATGCGATTATATTCTTTTCCTTTTGAATTTACGGGCGAATTTCACCCGATTGTCTGATAGTCGTTTCCGTGACTGGTTAATTTCTGAAAAAATTGCGAACCAAATTGCAGTGGCGGCGTTAGATGCTGCAACTCTGTGAATAGAAGTAGCTGTAATATAGCGTTACCATAAATTACCTTAAATCTGCACTTAACATTAACTGATTATTTTCAAGTCTTTTTGATAAAATCATAAGATTTATCCAAATTGAAACTCCGTGCTTAAAGATGTCTCGGAATAGAACGACATTAGAAGAAAAATGGTGGTAGGCCAAAAATGTTGGGTCTATTTGAAAAAGCCTTTATGTGTTTGTACATTCTTCTTTTTCAGCCCACTTCAGCGATATTCGAAAACGGTGTAAAGCTAGAACAACAATTTATGGAATTGATGAGAGCGAGTTTTCCTTCGCTCTACTATCAATCATCCATACCTGGAAATAATGTAGCCCAGGACAAGACTGCGTAGAATGTGTGTACAAAGCTTTTAAATTATATTGAATATCAATTTTTGTATGTGGCAATGGAAATAAAAGTTTTTCTAATCGTTGCGCTGGTTTTATGAATTAAAGTCCGGCCTAAAATGTTGAACTGAAATATACTGTACCATGCATGGTACAATGAAGGGTGGCGAGAGGGTAAAGTGTTTTCAAATATATTAAAGGACATTACGTTTTGTACGAACCCTGGTTTAAATTACTGTAGTACCTGAGCGTAGTTGTGATGCAGTTTAAATGAATGTAGTCCATATAATACAGTGCGGAAACATTAACATGAAACGATAATACATTAGATAGCAGAAAATGACATTACTATAAATTATAAAATTCACGATAAATCGGGTGACTTTTCAATCTTTCAAATGTCGATGAGGTATACATACCTTCACGATTTGGCTGTAAATTACTGTAAAAACGACTGTAAAAACTCGATCTGGAACAAAGAGTGGTATATAAATTTAAATGTATATTGAACGTTCTGCTGGAAACGTTTGATAAATACTTTTACACGCCTTCCTATCCAGAACACAGCGTCCAACAAACGTCCACAAGAGTTCGAATGCGAAGTGACGTGTTTCTCTCGACCAATCGGCTTTAAGCTGATTTGTTGTTGCGTCGTTTTGAATGTTTTCATTGGTTAGTTTACAGATGATTGGCATTTATATGAAACTGAGTCATGTGCCGTATATAGATATAGTCCAGTTGCCACCACATAGACCTGGTTGTTGTGAGAAGTGTATTGTTTTTTGTGGTTTTATACTAACGTGGGTCTATAGAACAATCTTAGCTTGGTTGCCGGAGTGGCAACTTTGGGGAACTCTGGCGGTTGGCTTGGATCCAAGATGGCCGATGTGAAAAATCCAAGATGGCCGCCATGAAAAGGGTAGAAAAGAGTGTCTTCACCAATCAACTTCAAAGTAATTAAAACTAACAAATATCCCATTTCTATATAATATTGATATCGGGAATCGATTTCTGATCTTAATTTTTTTATTCCAGGGTAAAATATGTTGTCAAAGGTCAAGGTCAAAGTCATTTTAGGCCATAAAGCATAATTTATTTAGTTTATCCTCAAAAAATCCATTTCAATAGATTGAATATCCATATTTCTATCCCTGGTAGTCACACATTGATTACTATTCGTTTTTTCACAGCTAATTAATTATCTAGGTCGGTTATATTTGCCGGTTACACATTTTAAGCCGGCATTCAATTTGCTTAAAATGTGTCCTCAAAGGTCACAATTTAGATCTCTTGAACAAAACTTAACTTTTTAACAAATAAATATTATTTACAGTACGTTCATGTCAATGCATCTACTCAGATTCTTCGTCAAGGTCTAATCTTCGAATTTTATCTTCCTCATCATCATCTTCATCATCCTTCAACTTCTCCTCCATTCGACTCTACTTCATCATCCATCTTGAATGGGTTAAAGCATTCATCGCTACAAGCACATGCACAGTACACAGTACACGATATCTTACTGTGATGACAGCTGCAACTTCCGGTCGCACACGCTTTCCCCACCGCTTTGCAGTTGCACCGCACTACATCCATGAGTTCGGTCGGCCCTGGAAGCTGATTAGCAATTGCCGGAACTGGTATGTCATCCTTAATCTCCCATCCAAACTTCGTGATGTCAAGTTCAGGAGGACCCGGCTTATCTGCTGATTTGCCGAGGATTGTTTGCAAATGGGCCCGCAATATGTGGAGAAAAAGATTTTGTTCAGTTGGAGGTAGCGACATAAGCTTAGGCAGCTTTCCAGACTTTCTGGTGTAGATTCGGTACCTCGTCTCACTCATTGTGGTCCCAGGCTTCTGGCCATAGAGAGCGCAAAAGAAGGTTTGTCCTACTTGCACGAGCTGCTCATGGCTAGCATCAAGCTCACCCAACGCGGAATTCAGCTCGGGAAAGTCGCCAGCCATTAAGATCTTTAGGGCGGACACTTTTCCTTTGCCAAACAGGTATGACGTGGTATCTGAGCCAGTTAGATTGTGCATGCCTAGGATCTGCAGACATTTGGGACCTAGCTGGTCACAAGTCTTATTAATGTCCCAAACTGTTCCATCCCACCGCTCCATATGCACTGTTGCTTGGATTTGGTGTCGGTATACCCAGTACACGAGCAGCACGAACACATCGGTGTCATCTGAGAGAACGCGGACAACTTCCGTGCCGGATTTGACAGCCATGAGTAGGTAGGAAATCATTGTTATATCTGCTTCATCATGGGCGAATATACCATCGCTGCGGCTTTCCACGGTAACATCTTTGCCAAAGTTGTAGGTGCTGAGTACTTTTGAGAGTTGCAGCTTGTTGTGCTTATTTCTCATGATGGCATCTCGTTTGGGTAGTGGTGTGTTGATGGTGAGGTCGTAATTGATGGAGCCGAGGCCAGCACGTCGCATGCGTTCGTGGTCCTTTGCAGAAATGTCATGATATTTGTCAAATACTAAGACTTTCTTGCCTGGACGAGATGATAATCTGGTCTTGATAGACTCCACTATTATCGATGCATCTCCCCTGCATGGCCAGACGATGCGGTAGAGTAGTTGGCTCACATCAACTATGGTGAGATCAGGTGGACATGGTCGCGCTGTCTGTACACAGAGTTTGTGAGCCAGTGGTGCCTTGCTCCCTTTTCGCAAGCAGCCATACTCGTCGATGAGAGAAGGAGGTATGGGGCACAACTCATACTGAAAGATGGGTGCTAACTCCATCTGTCGCTGCTGTCCAATGGTCAACAGTCTAAGGAAGATTGTTTCCAGGTCAAATATCGTCTTGTCGCCCACTTTCACACCTTTCTTTATGTTTTCCATGGTCTTGAGAGGACTTGAAATTGTAGCATGAAATCCAGAGGGAAGAGATGCCCTGAACTCCGAAACCATCTTTTTGCCAATGCTGACTGATTCTGCAACATTGATCTGGGACTCTGGGGGAGCAAAGCTACCGTTTGCGATGTTATATAGGTGTGGCGATTGATTCTCTAACGGATGCGACATTTTAGATAGCTCAATTGAGATTCTTCGTCGATCATCGGCATCCATTTCTCTCCGCTTCTGTCCTTCCTCCTTGTGACGTGGAACATTTCTTGTTTCACTTGCATCAGCAGGATATAAATGCTGCATGGTATCAGAGATGTAGGCAGTGATGGGAAACGAATCGATCCATTCAGCAACCATCTCTGGAGAAAGGGTCATACCTTTCAGTCCACCTTTACCGATTCTAATGGCAGTTTGCTCGCCAAACTGGTCAGAACTCACACCATTCCAGATTCCCTCCTGATGACGGCACACAAAGGCACCTGATATCAACTCTGCTTTGGCCATCGGTGGCAGCAAATAGTGCATTTCAAGGAGGTGGTGGGTGAGGTAACGGGCGTAGTTGTGGTGGCCAGCGACAAAGAAGTAGGGGAGCATACGTTCAAGTGTTAGCTGCTGCAGATGAAAATCTCCCTCTCTTTCACTACGAAGTAGTTGATGGATGAGCATAGTTGGAATGAGTAGGTTATCAATCCATAACTTGCCAGTTGGGTGCTGCCGACAGACATCAAGGTAGTTACTCAAATCTTGAAATGTCGTGGGACCATTGTTGAGTAAGTAGCTCTGAAGAATGGAAGTTGAAACCATCCGGTATGCTCTCATAGACCTAACCCAAGACTTTCCATTAATAATTCCTGTTAGCCCTCCGAATGCTGAGCTAATGAGAGTCTCAATTCCCGATCCACGCATGAGCTTCCCAATGCAACCACAGAAGGACTGAACAGTATGCATGATTCCAGGCCTTAGAATGACGTTTTTGAAGCGATCAACATCGTTCCATTTGATTTGGCAGGACACGATGTAGAGCTGTAAATCAACAGAAATGTGGGCATATGTCATGCCCATGTCAGTCAATGACTTCTTGAGGTACTCCAGGGACGTCAGCACTGTGTCAGGATGAGAAGCTTTAGCGTCAATGAGAGGTCCAAACATGTAAGTACTGGCAGGTTTCTTCTCACTTTCATGATTGCGTGACTCGAGATTGTTGAACCCGCTCCACTCCATCGCTTCACTCTGTGTGTTAAGTGTGTTAAGCCACTTAATATCCTTCTCTTGTGCAGTAACAAGACTTGTCTGTCGTGCACGTATTTCTTCACAGGAAATACCAGATGTAACTTGGACAGTGGGGGGATTGACCTTGACCTTTCCGGTGTAGTGCTGTAAAGAAAGGCTGCCCGATGAACTATTGCTATTCCTAGACTGTGCGGCCTTCTTAGAAAGTCTGGGGATAATGAGATTGCTTTCCCCTGGCTTTGCACGGCCATACTCTAGAATACCTGCAGGATGCGGTTGCTGGAATTCATGCGAAAGGACATGAGTACTGCGTCGACCGTTGGGCGTAAACACCTGGAGATCAAGGTTGTCAAACCATGCAAAGATAATGCCAACAGATCTACTTAGCCCCATGAACTGATGGAGAATCGGTGCGTTGTCTCCGAGAAAACGAGCAGCTGATTTCCGAAATCTTAGCACCTCATCGTAAGTGGATATGAATCCATGCTCATGAAGTAGCTTAATGAGTTCGGAACTGCCATACCGATGCTGAAGTTTTACGCCCAATCCTAGTGTTGTTTGATTTCTTGTACCTGTAATGTGACTTTGAATTGACTGGCTCAGACTGAGCGATTTCTTGGTAACTTCACCACCAGAAACTAAATCCGAAATCAATGTCAACAAAGTGGGACTGGTTGCCTTGATTGTGTTAGCTCGTGTAAACTCAGATAAGTCGTAATTAGCGCTGTTATACTTGACTGATCGTGCCTCACGCTTGATTTTCCTCAATAGAGAATCACTGCTTTTCTCATCCGTTTCAACCACCTGGACTACCTTGAGAGTTTTAGCAATAGACTCACGGTAACCAACAAGGGTAGCACACCCATCTACCCGAATAACAAGTACATCTTTATCAATGCAGTCAGTCAACTTTTTAAACATCTCGCGTCGTGATAGTTTGCCTCCTAGATCAGAGTATAGGCAATGCAGTTCAACGCTATTCCAGATTTTATACCTGTTTCCGTTCAAGAACTCAATGACCTGCTTAAGGGCGTTATCATCTACGTTTCCAGTTGGTAAGTCGGCATATTTGGGAATTTTCATAAAACTGTTGTAGCAGCGAACATGATATTTGCACTCGGCAGAAGGTAAGTCAGAAACAAAACCAATGTGTAACTTGACCCTTCTAGCTATATCGTCATTACGTTGCTCAGCTACCTCAAGAATAACATCTTTCATAGATTGAAGTGGATTATGTTCTTTATCATAACGTTCATGCGTCATGCATTCACGAAAACGGTCCCATCTATCTGGGTGTTTATCATCTTTTGGTAAACATTCATCACCACAGAATATGCAATCGCGTTTGTAGCAAAATGCACCATTATCATCTGCTTGAGCTTGAAATGACCTTGTAGCCACCCTAACACATTCTCCTTCAGCCTTTCGTTTTAGCGAGTTTTTAACTCGGTTAATTTTTTCTTTCGATGTATAAGTACAGTAGCAACCTTTGTGGCAAACTATGCTCGCGGCATTACCATCAACATCGATGATGTCCTGCAGCTTAGCCTTTGTATCCACATCTCCACGGGAATGAGCACACGAGATTAGTTTGTGGATGCCTCTCTCGGTGAATCTCTTCTCCTCACCACCCCCATGACAAACTGGGAGAAAACACCTTGAGCCATCCATAACTGAAGTCACAAAAAAGTGTGAATCGTGTATATTATCGTATATACCTGTACGCATTACACGTTTCACTGTGTCCGATATTTTGTTTTAACTAATTTAACTCGAAAAAAGCTTCGGTGAGCCTCAGTTTTTATGTTATAGAAACTTTTCGTATGGCAAAATTAATTAATTAAGCGTTTTGTTTGCACTTAAAAAACACTAAATGTTTTGTTTCACAAATTGAAAAAAAATACTGTAAGTGTTATTGTATTATATGAGCTTTACATTAGGTTTTTTTAATAAGTAAAATCAGTTCATACACTCATGTCCATTCAAACATTCAGGATAAACTTACCTTATTTTAGTAGACTTACAGTTCTGTAAACAATGTATAAGCAGGAAGCAAGTAAAAATCGCTTTGATGCCTAAACTGCCAGTGTTTGTAAAGAAGGAGTAATCAATTTACACTTTATGCGATGTGGACAGCGGTATCTACATCAATCCCATTAAGTACTTCATCTATCCTACATTATTTCCATTATTTCCTTTTGTTGAAAATAATTCTGATTATTACGTTTATGTAACTTTTTACAGAATTCATCTGTAAAATTACTTTGCAATTGACCTTAAGAGCCTGCCTAGATAGCTTATAAGCTTATAAAAACAGATTAAAATTTATTGTTTGAGGTTAAACTAAATATATTATACTTAATGGCCTAAAATGGCTTTGACCTTGACCTTTGAAAGCATATTGACCGCATATTGACCCTGGAATAAAAACAATTAAGATCAGAAATCGATTCCTGATATCAATGTTATATAAAAATGGGATATTTTTTAGTTTTTATTACTTTTAAGTTGATTGGTGAAGACATTCTTTTCTACCCTTTTCATGGTGGCCATCTTGGATTTTTTAAATCGGCCATCTTGGATTCAAGCCAACCACCAGAGTTCCCCAAAGTTGCCACTCCGGCAACCAAGCTAATATTGTTCTATAGACTCATGTTATTATAAAACCACAAAAAAACAATACACTTCTCACAACAACTAGGTTATTATAGGAATCATATACAGTGGCAACTGGACTACTATGTAAACGCTGAGTAAACTGCTTAGTGCTGACTGTGCTTGTAACACAAATTTCAAGCAACTATTGTGCAAGCTGACCAAATGTAAGAAGTGTTTATATATTCAGTAACTATAAATCAAGCAAAGTTTAATATACAATTTATATTGTTGCTGTATTATGTTAGATGTTATGCTCAAGATTATTCTACTGCATTACTGCATGGTATTAACCAGCCTGCCATCGAGCTGACTAAAATTTTAAACAGCCATCTAAAAATTTAGATTGTCACTTGTGTCAAGAAACATGCCTTTACGCCACCAAAAGAGATACACCTCCATGTGTAAATAAAATAATACAGGGATCGATCCAGCATGATCTGGTAGGGGGCTGCTCTGCAGTGGTGCCGCCAGCTCGATAATTGGGGGGGGGGCGAATATTCATATATTTGTGTTCACAGAGCATAAAAACAATCAATTTCAAAAGAAGTTAATAATGCAGAACACAAAGATATGAATATTCCCCCCCCCAATTATCGAGCTGGCAGCGCCACTGAAGCTCTGGCGCAGAGTTGTGTCGGCCATGTGTGCCACTCGCCCATCAACATACTACATTTGAATTTGAATTGTTGTTCACAGTTTGCTTATCATCATGTTATTGCTCACATTACTGTATCTCATTTTGTCTCTATTATTTTTTGCTTTATCATGAAAAAAGCACCCCCTTCACCCTCTCCTGTCAGGGCTTGGAGGGTGCACCCCCCTCTAGTAAATCTGCAACTTGCAATGCAATTTCTGATAAAAGGCGATGCGATTTAAAAATAAGTCACAGGGAAATTGTGAGCATAGACAACAGTTTACACTACTTTTATTTTTTTATCCCATTTTCATCCATTAAAAACATGTTATATTGTAAAGAAGGTGTCAGCAGAACAGAATGCTGGCCATGTTCAATTATGTCAGTAGTCACTATTTTATCTGGCAGGTTATGACATGCTCGATCAATGTTGTCATTGACAATGGTTGCTTGTCCATGTGTTGTAGGCTTGAAGCTGCTAATTGTACAATGTAAACCTTGCTGTTCACACTTTCTAGGATGCAGCAACTTAGTCTCCATCTCAGACATGCAAAATAGCACCTAGTTTCTTGCATAGAAATCCTGACAATTCAACATCTTCATTTGGATTAAAAAAATTAAAAAATTATTATTATAATCATCTACCATGTTATTGTTTAACTGCTGGATTGTACAATGCAATTCACACCATGCAGGTACTGGACACTAGTGCACACATGAAACAAGACATAGTATAGTAAGCAGGGGCGTCGCTAAGGCATCAACATTGGGGGGGGTCGTCATGTTTTGATCAATATTTAATAAAATTTTGACCAAGTCGTAAACCCGGAAATGTTGTCGACAGGGGGGTAAAAAAAATTTCCAGACTAATATAAGCATATTTATAAATTTTTCGACCAAAATAAGCAAGGCTTACCAATATTTAACCACAATTTACCAACTTTGACCTTAAATTTTAAGCAAATATCAGTTCCATTTTGACAAACTTTGAGCAAATACCAGTTCCATTTTGACCAACTTTGACCAACGTTTCAATAATTGGGGGGTTACACCCCCCCCACACACACACACACACCCCGGTAGCAACGTCCCTGATAGTGAATATAGTAAGTGAACCCAGCTAATTTTAGATTTCAGACAGTGGCGTTGCTTCACTGATTGGCATACTCGGCCAATCTGACAACCAAACACCAGACCAAGGCTTTTTCACTCAAATCAATCTGGCTCTTGCCATGGTTTCAATTAATAATGGGTCCACAATTATCAAGCTGAAATATATTTTATCTTGTTACATTTCTACACATCATATGTAGGGTAATTTTGTCCTGCTTCTAACAACCATGAACAGACAGATTGAACTAACTGTACATGATAATTGTACTATTTTAAATAATTATGACATTAACAATTATTTAAAACACAAAACAACTATAATTGATCCAAAAAAATATTATATGAAATTAAATGCATTTCATTGTGATGTTAACACAAAGTCTATCTTTATAGTGCTTAAAAGATTACAACAAGATTTCTATTTCTATCTACAGCTTATACAAAAATATACGTCACCTTGATGTAAATGATGTTTTCCATTTACAGATATACAAAAATATATGTCAACTGACAACATGTAAATTATTTGATGACAATTTTAATTTCCGGGTTAAGATTCTTTCAATTGTCCACAACAGCTGTATTCTTAATCGTTTAGCTGCCTTTAGCGAGCGTACTAATATAAATTCACTAATTTTCATAATTCTTCACTCCATGCAATCCACCATCTTGGATGACAAATCCTCCCCACATGCATACCCTAGAGACGAAATCGCTGCGCAAGCAAGATGCGCAGAACGGCTCAACCATGTCGGGTTTTGGCAGGCATCTCACCGACTTTCTGAAGTATGTGAACTACGAGATGCCTGCGGAGGAGGCTAGAGCTGCATTACATACTGCAGATGTACTGTACATGCCAAATATTTTAAATGTTTATTGTCCTTATTATTTTGTCATTTTACAATTATAGCTTTTCATGCCCTTGCGAAAATAACTATATTATATTGCTATTTTAAAACTATTTTATTACTATCACCCCTATTTTTATGCTATTTTATTCAGAAGCAACCCTATTTTAATTCTATCATAATATATTTCACCAAAAGAAAGAGCCATATTTTATTAATGTTTTATTTTATTTTATTTTATTCCTATTTTTATAGATAATAGAAATAAAATCGCATATTTTAATACTATTTTCCAGAGCTTCAGGGAAAAAATAGGTTTAAAATAGCCTATTTAAATTCTATTTTACTTCACTAAAAAGCAGTTAGAAATTAAAATAGATATAAAATATACTATTTTTAAACTCATAAAATAAAATAGGCTGTTTAAATCCTATTTTACATTGCAAGTTAAATGCACAAATTTCAAACAGGAATAAAATATACTATTTTAATCCTATCTTTCCTTCATAGTTAGTAAAATAACAATAAAATAGACAATTTTAAACATATTTTGCACATGGAGAAAATTACATAAATTAAAATAGATATAAAATATAGTGTTTTAAAGCTATTTATTTTTCAGAATACGTAAAACAGAATAAAATAGACTATTTTAAACCTATTTCACATTTTAAAAATGCCACATTTTTCAAATAGGGATAAAATATACTATTTTAAATCTATTTACTTTCCCTAATTTGCAAAATAGAATAAAATACACTATTTTAATCCTATTTTACATTTACAGGAATTCAGGATTACAATTTGCAGATATGTATAAAATAGTCTATTTAAATTAAACATACTGAATTTTCCTACTTAGCAAAATGAAATGAAATAAAATAGAACCGTATTTTACATTTACACAGATAAGGGACCAATCATTAATAATGGAAGGGGTGAGGGGCGGAGGGTGAGAAAAGGAGGAGGCTTCAACTATTGCATACAGCGTCATCCCCACTGGTCATCTCATGCAGTGCTTCCACTTGCAAGGAAATTTCTTTGCAAAAAGAAATAAAATTTACTAGGAAACGGCAAGGAATTTTGTTTTCAGCAAGCAAATAAGGATATTACGTTATTTCTAATAAATCCTAAGGTTATAGCAATTCCCAAGCAAATTCGCGTCAGGAAATGTCGAAAATCCAAACTACTCCTGGGGAATGGAAAATCTGAAGAATTTCTGAGGCATGACCTCAAGCCTCCTGTTGCAGTTTTTTATAATTAATTTATAATTTATAATTGCAACGTTCATGGTGTTTCTCGCCCGAGAAATACACTGTCATTCAAGATGAATTATTGTAATATCAGTTTTAAACTAGGTAAAATTCATCTTCATCAAAGGAATTTTTGTCAAAAATAAGGAAATTTTGAGCAGTTGG